CTTCCTAGTTCCTGCCTCCTGACTCTTCAGAACGAAACTCCTTCCTTAGAAATTAGAAGTAGGGTCGGGGAATCCAGACCACAGGGCATGGTGGCAGAATCTACCATCTCCGCCCTGGCACAGAGTGTGGGGGGCGTGTGCCTGGGTGTCAAGGGGGATACCCCAGCCTCTTTTGGGAGGGTGCAGAGCTAAACCCACAGACCCCTCTTCCTTTGCAAGCTCCTTACCAGGGACCCAGATGGGTGGCAACGATGCCCAGGGTGCCCAGCAGGCCCCAGACACCTGCCGATGAGCAGTGGAATGAGGGAGCTAATTTCAGAGGTGGCAAAAGCTATGAAGATGTTCAAACCCTGGGATGGCAGGGCGACGGGGGGTTCACTTTGGTGGGGCGGGCAAAGAAGGGTTCTCTGAGGAACTATCACTTGAGCCAAGACCAGAGGGAGGACGAGGCACATCCGTGAGAAAGCCGTGGAGGTGGCAGGAGCAGCCAGTGCAAAGGCCCTGGGGCATACACGAGTGACCCAGGGAGAGGCTGGGCGGGTGCATGGAGCTGGCTCCATAAGGGTTGCTGGGCCGTCCTAGGGCCTTTGGATTTTATTCCAAGAGCTTCAGGTGGTCACTGGACGATTTTAAGCAGAAGAATGATTTGATGGGGTTGGCATCCTTAAAAGTGCACTGAGACCTCCCCTACAGAGGATGGAGGGTGGGACTCAGGTGGAGAGGCCCAGATCCCTGATGTGGTTGAGGTTTGTTGCCCTCCCCTGGCATCGTGCCCCAGGACGAGGGCTGGGGCATTCCAGAGACACCTTCTGCTCCCCAGGTTTTCGGGGACAGGATGGAAGGGCTGGGGGTTAAAGGCAAAAGCAGGTTAATGATCCCAGAGTCAGGGAAGTCGGTCGTGACCTGAATCTAGGCTCCAAAGTTCAGCTCAGTTAACTTTCAACCTCCTGGGAGGCTCCCTGGCATTTCCGACAGTGTTCCTTCACGGCTGCAGGGGATCTCAGACGACGAAAAGGGCAGGTGTTGTCCCGAGATCCCCCAGCAGCAGAGGGCCCTTTGGGGACCCCAAATCCCCAAATCCTTCCCTCCCCTAAATGTTTGAAGGTCTTGTGTGCACCCGACAAAGGCTCCTCAAATCCCAGGCTCCCTTTGGAATTCGAGACCAGCCCTGCTGCCCACCCATAGCCCCCGATGGAGGGCTTGGTCGGCCTCGGCAGCATCAGGCCAGGCAGGGGACAGAGCTCAGGTGGAACTGACATGGAGAGTGGGGGGACGGGTTGAGGGGATGACGGCGGAAGAAGCTGTTTGCTCCCTGTCTGCCGGGGGTGGAGAAGCTCTGTTTTTCTGGAACCCTCATCTGTTCTTACCACTGCTGACGCCGCCACCGCCGCGGATGGGGAGAGAGGGAGGGGGAGCCAGTGCCAAGTTGGCCCGCCCCTTGTGAACCTGGGCCTCTGCCACGCTCCCCCGCCCACCCGCCCGCCCGCCCGCCGCGAGCCTCCGTCTGGAGGTCACATTCAGTCCTGCCGTGTCTCGCTGGGTCAGGCAGCAGGAAGATCAGAGCTGAGCCCGGCTGCGGGTGACACGGCTGCCCTGCTGGACCTGGGTCCTTGGATTTTGCCCGGCCCGGGGGTCTGTGGGCCCTGGCCGGCACTGCTCGCTGAGCGTCCGCACTGGGCACATTGGTGCTGGAGGAGCTCGGCACGCGGCGCCCCAGCGATGCCTGGCCCAGGGGTGCCCCACACGCACCACTGACAACTTCCCGCCACCCACCACCCTCGGGGAAGGGCACCTCGCGCGCCCACAGCGGCTTGGGGACAGCGTCAGAGGTGGCAGCAGCCGCTGGAGGAGCCCCGGGCCACCACAGGCAGGCGGGCTTGCAAGGAGCTGCCTCCCGCCCCTCTCGAGCCAGCCTCCGCCCGCCGCGTCCCTCCCTCCCTCGCTCCCTCCCTCCCTCCCTCCCTCACCGTGGGACGGAGAAGGATGTGAGGCTGAGCTGAGCCGCCAGCAGACGCCAGCCAGCAGCCTCGCAGAGCCGGCCGCGGCCGCCCAGCCTGCCGGCCCACTTCTCTGGGCCCGCTCCCCGGGGCATCTTCCCAGCTCTATGTTTCCGGAAAACTTGGCCGAGGGGGAGACGCGGATGAGAGGATGTGAGTGAGTGGTCCTGGGGAGGGGATGGGGGACTGCGGGTGCAGGGGCAGGGACCGCAACGTGGCCGTCTGGGATTTGAGGCTGGGCAGCTGGGGCAGCTGGGGAGTTGGAGTTCTGGGCCCTGGAGTGGATGGGGGTCCCAGCCCATCCTTTCCCCCGTGCCCCCTCCTCTCTCTCCCTGCTGGGCTGAGGCTCTCCTGGAAGCAGGGGTGGGACCTGGATCTGTGCCTGGGAAGGTCTGTGATGCTCTGTGCAGAGGGGGCTCTCCAGGTGGACGGGGGCTTCAGGCTGGGTCTGGCGGGGTGGGCTCCAAGGCACGGTGGGGTGGAAAGTCCTTCTCTCTGTGCCCGGCACCCTCTGCCTGGGCTTCCCAAAACACAAACCAGAGGAAGCCAGTGCCAGCCTGCCCCTACCCCGAGGCCCTGGCCGGCGCTAATGGAACACCCACTCTGGCCCCTCACAGGGCAGTTAAGGAAACTGAGGCCGGAGAGCAGAAGGGCTGGCCGAGACTGCTGGCGAGCTCTGGCCAGGTGCCCGGGTGACTCTGCCCATTGCTCCTTTGGGAGCCACATGTTTTCAGGAAGGACTGGGTGACCCCCATCCCCACCTCCATCCCCTCTCCCCTGCCCTCAACCCTCTCCCACTGCCCCCATGATCGGAGTTAATTAGGGTCCCAACCCCCAGCCAGGCTCCTAGCCACCTCCTTATTTATTGACTGAGTTTGGAAATGTCAACCTCCCCAGCGTCGTCAGGCCATCCCCCTGGGCTCTCTATGCCCACCCAACCCGGCAGGCCCAGATGGGAGACCCGCCCTCTCCCACCCGGGTTCCGGGCCTGTGATCCCTCTGGCCTAGCATGTTTGCCTGGGCTCTCTTGGCCCCGGCTGGGGAAATATAAATAAACGCACGGCCCCGTCCACCAGGTTCTGGAAGTGGCAGCTGCTGCTGGCGCGGGCGGAGGGAAAGGTCAGGGGCCGGGTGCCACTTGATCTCACGCCCCGGCCCTCCCCTTCTGCGCCTGTCCTTGAGGAACCCTGAGGAGCGGGCCGTGAGGCCACGTGGCTCCCAGGGCCACAGCGGGCGAGCAGGTGGCCTGTCAGTCAGTGCCACCCCCACGCCACGGGGGCCAGAGGACCCGGAGGGCAGGAAGTCTGGGGCCCCATGCCCGCGTTGCCCGCCTTGGCTGGTCCTCTAAGCTTGGGTGAGTTGGCGGGACCCTCTGAAATCTCCCCAGGAGATTTCCCCCTCCTGGGGATGGGAAAATGGTCACAGCCACGACAGCAAGGATGAGAAGGAACCAAGTCTTTGAAGGGCTTTGCAAACTCTGTGTGTCACTTAGCCATGCCATGGGCTGATGTGTTGATGTTTCTGCTGCTGTTATTTTATTTGCATTAGAGCCTTGTGTGTAGCAGGCAGGCAGCCGGCACGTGGGTGGGTAGGTGGGTGGGTGGGTGGATGGATGAATGAAGGAAGGAAGGAAGGAAGGAGGGAGGGAAGGAAGGAAGGAAGGAAGGAATGAAGGAATGAATGAAAATACCAACACAGACGGCTGCCTCTCGGCTCCACGACCCCTGAACCATTTTAGCTGGAGCTTGGCTTGCAGATTGATTTGATTCAAGGAAAATAGTCAAAAACTTCGTTACGGGAAATCCTTCATTAAGTCCTTACAAGTATAGCTCCAGCTCAGGGAGGCTGCCAAGTCCCGAGCTACGTGATTCAGCCTTGGGGCCTGCTGCCCTGGAGGGGCACCCTCTTGCCGCACAGCCCCCTAGGTCAGGAGCGCTCCCTGTCTCTCCCACAGCCCTGGGAAAGTGGGCAGGCCCTACCTGCACGGGCTGGCTGGGCCATACAAGGTCACGCCGCTGGAGACACGGGCATAAATATAGAGCTGCCTGGCCTGTGCCTGTGCCTGTGTGTGCCACAGCTCGCCGGGCAGATGGGCCGAGGCCGGGGGCTTGGCTTCCCAGGCGCTGCCTCCGGTGCAGCAGGGGCTGTGTTTCTGCTGAGCCTGGTGTTTGTGGCCTTGAAACTAGAACGTGGGGGGCGGCATGCCGCTCTGGCCTGAGACCTGGGGATGGAGGGAACTTTTTCTGCCAATTCCTGGAGGGTCTCTTCCCACAGCAGGAGGTCTGTGAGGCTGGGAGAACCTCCTGGTGGTGCGGGTTGGGGTTTGAGAGCAAATTCCAGCCGCCCAACCTGGCCTGGTGGGCCTCGAGTCCCGAGTGGGCCTTTAGGTGCCCTTAGGGAGTTTGGGCCCTGGACGTGCCCCAGTTAACCTGGGCCCGGAGGCTCCTGGCCCCAGCTCACCCCCACCCTGACCTCCACCCTCCCATCCCCTGCTCACCACGTCCCTTCCTTTCCCTGGGCCGGTGTGGCCGGAAAACAACCGTCTCCCGAGGCCTCGCCTGCAGCTGTGAGCGAGTGTCAGGGCTGGGTCACGTCGGCCGCCCTCCCGCCCAGCCTGGGGGAGGCAGGAGAGGTGGGGCCTGGGCAGAGGCTGTGCATCCTGGACATTCACAGCCCTCCGCCCCCAGACTTCTGCGCGGTGGCTCAGTGGGGCTTCACCTGTCGCTTTTGGCTCCTCCAGCCCAGGCCTTTCCCATGCATCCTGGCCTGGAGTCAAGTGACTGAGAAACCAGACCCCAGAGGCCAGCCCTGCCACCCTCTAGTACCTTCCCCGCCAGGGGACACGTGGCCCGTCGCTGTCTCTTCTTCCCGAGGTCCTGGGCCTGAGCAGGGAGCCCCAGGCTGGGTTTCTGCTCCAGGCCCGTTTGCCCCCCAGGCCATGTACACAGGCCCCTCTGCCTGCCGGGCCTGGCCGCCCCTCACGGCTCTCCTCTCCCGAGACAGGTCTCCTGGAACACGGCCGCAACTGGTCGGCCATCGCCCGGATGGTGGGCTCCAAGACCGTGTCGCAGTGTAAGAACTTCTACTTCAACTACAAGAAGAGGCAGAACCTCGATGAGATCTTGCAGCAGCACAAGCTGAAGATGGTGAGTCCGCAGCCGCCTGCGCCGCGCCCCCGGGGGCTGGGAGAGGAGCTCAGGCTGCCTCAGGAGGTGTCTCTGCACCCCAGGAGGCGTGGGCCAGGGTGGGGCCGTTATGCCGCCTTGTTAGAACTCAGTTTCTGGGGGTTCAAGCCTGCGAGTGCCCGCGATGGCTGCAGCCCGCAATGCTGCTGTGTGTCCCTGCCCTGGAGAAGGGCCAGGCCAGCTGCCCTCCACCCCCACCCTGACCCTGCTCCGCTCAGACAGACACCTCTGGGGGCCCTCAGCCCCAGCTCAGGGTGTGGGGGAAGGAGCGCGGTGGACCAGACTGACTCAGCCAGGAATTCAGGCTGTCAGCGCGTTGGAATGAGGACCCGGAGGCAAATGGGTCCTGAGCGAGCAGCTCCCCCGCCCCATTTGACCTCACAGCTTTAGGGCTGCTGTGGCCGGGGAGGGACAGGTCTAGGGGGCGGGGAGCGGACATCTCAGCCCCAGAATCCTGGAGGGCTTGAGGCAGGTCCTGGGAGGCTGAGACCCTTCCCTCCTGCACAGAAGGTGCAGGCCCGCCTCGCCGCCTAATGGCCTCCAAGGAGCAGCCGCTTCTTCCACAGCTGTTTCTGGGAATCAAGGAGCATTTTGAGGGAGACCTCTGCTGCCTTCCCTCTCTCCTTCACTACCTCTCTCCTTCCCTTCCTCCCTCCTTTCTGCCTCTTTGACATGCTTGCCAAGCATTTTAGAGCTGGGGAAACTGAGGCTTAGCCAGGCTCATCTGCAACTGAATTGGGATTTGTACCCACAGTTATGAGATCAGCACCCACGCTCTTCATCGCTAGGCTGCGTGTTTCCTCATCGATACAGAAGCACGAGGGAGGGGTTGCATAGCTCCCCTCTCCGCCTCCCCACCAAACCGTGATGTCGGGCTGCCTTGTGCCTGGGTGTAAAGTGTATGCAGTGTGTTCCAGACAGGCCATGCTGAATTGCTCCCTCCCTGCAACCTGCTGAGGCCCAGAGAGGGTGAGCAGGCTGTGAGGTCACACAGCCTGCAGTGGGAGGGCCAGGTATAGCCTCACCCTGTTTGAACTCTGCCCAAGTACTGTGCAGAATTTAAGGACATCCTTCCACCCTCCCAAGTGGGTTCTTCGTGAGTCACGTGTGCGCGCGGCTGCTGGTGGCTCCGGGACCGAGGGGGCACAGTCCCACGGCCCTGTGGTCAGCGCTGAAATCCACCCTCTGGCCTCGGGGAGGCCCCTCCCCGTCACTTCCAGTTAAGCAGTGCCCCGCGTGCCCTCCACATCGCCCCTGGGATTTGTCCCCAGAGCTCAGGGCTTCAGGCAGCGCCCTCCTCTTCTGGATGCTTCGGGCTTTCTGGTTGGGTGTAGAGGAAGGCACCGTGTCTGGCTGAATGTGCAGACCCCTGTTCCTAACACCTGCCGAGGTCCCTTATGGCAAAGAGGGCCCATGCCACAGCAGCCTGGGGGCGCAGCAGGGGGCCTGGGCCGGGGTGGGGGGATGTTGTGGGCCATCGATTCTGTCAGCCAGGTCAGGAGTCTGAAGTGGTCCATCCGGGATGACTCAGGGGCAGGGGTTTGGCCCTGAGCATCTCCCTAGGCACAAAAAGGGCCTCCTGGTTTCTCCCCAGCCTTCCTTTCTTTGTCTCTCTCTTCACCCCGCCTCCCCCTTACCCCACCTCCCCCTCGGGGGCCCCTCCGCCTGTCCCCCTCACCCCATGACCACAGGCGTCTCCTCCCCTGCAGCCGGCTGCCACTCAGCCTGGCTTTCCAGGCTTCCGCAGGGTGTGGCCCTGCTGTACCCCCAGAGACTCCAAAACCTGAGAGTGGCTTGGAGGACCAGAGACCCCAGCATGGTGAACCGTCCCATTAGGCCCAGGGTGAGACTGGGGGCAAGGCCCAGCTTGTGGATTTGGGCACCCCTGTGACCTTGGGCAGTGAATTCAGCCTTCTAAGCCTCAGTTTCCCCATCTGTAAAGTACGGGAATAACAGTTCTTATCCAAGAGGTCCTGTGAGGAGTGAACGAGTGATTACCTGTGAGGACCTTAGTGCCTGCCAGAGGGGCAATGCTCTGGGAAGGCGACCTGCCCTAGTTACTCTTACTGCTGTGGTCATTATTATTTTATCTTGACGCCATCTACCCCCTTCTCAGGGCTGCCTGAGACCCCTTCCTTTTTTTTTTTTTTTTTTTTTTGAGTTGGAAGGTTTTATTAGACTAGGAGATTAGTGGGAGGTATGAGTACTGGGCCAAGGTGGCAGGGGCCATGCTCAAGGCACCCTGTCATGTGTAGTAACCACCAATGAAGCTGCTGGCGTGGACAAACATGCAGCCAGCTATCCCACTGACGAGGGCCCTTCTTGAATGGTGTGTGCAGGCACAGCCACAGTGTGCTATGGGTTGGGAGCAGGGACTGGGCCCAGGAGACCTGAGTTTGAATGTAGGCTCTGCCACCTACTAGCTGTGTGCCCTTGGGGAAGTGACCAATGCTCTCTGCGCCTCAGTTTCCCCATCTGTGAAATGGGGACAATAATGAAACCCATCTCAAAGGGCTGTTGTGGGAATGCACTGGGTGGCTGCCTACAGAGTGCTTGGAACACGGCCTAGTGTGCCCCAGGCACTCTGCTAGTGAGAGCTGTGATAGTGCTGATGGTGATGCGCTCACGATTGATTGATTGATTGATTGATTCATCCATTCATTCAGAGAGGCACTCCAGAAGGATGGTGCAAAGCAGGGCTTTGGAGCTGGTGGCTTCGCACCCTAGCTCTGCTGCTTAGTGACTGGGTCAAAGGATACTGGGCTTCACTTCACCTCTCTGTGCCTCAGTTTCCACCTCTGTAAAATGGGGCTAAGAATGGGACCCAGGCATAGGGCTGTTGAAGAACAAGTGTGTTTCTTTTTGTAAAGGGCAGTGCCTGTTCCTTGGTCAGCCCTCAATAAGCATCCAGTATTATTCTCACTGTCCATTCAGCAACCCCTTATTGAGCGCCTGCTGTATCCCAGGGAAGCGATGGCAGGTGCCGTGAGGGCAGAGGCATGGATGGGGTTTTCCTGCTGGGCTGAGAAGCTGACACTTAGTGGACCATGGAGGGAGTGGAGGCTACATGGAAGGATTCTGAGCTGAGGCACAGCCCCCATCCAGGGCTGGACTCAGGCTGGGTCGTCCTAGTGTCGATGAGAGTGATTCTGATCTGAATGACATAGCTGATAAAGAAGGTGGCCCTTCTGTCCCCTGATGCTGAAGACTCCGGAGGCGTGGGCAGGAGGGGACCCTGAGAACCAGGTTGGGACCTGGATGAGAATGAGTGATTCGGGAGTGTGCGGTTGGTTCTCTCGCTCCTGGCCCACCTCGAAGGAGCACCCTCATATCGAGGGCTGCAGCGAAAGCAGAGCAGATGCAGGGACCCATCATAGGAAGCGGGGCTCAGGCCAGACCAGCCGTCTTGACAGTGGCCGCTCTTGCTGCAGTGGTGAGCTTCCCATCGCTGCAGTATACAAGCGGGTCTCACCCGGAGAGATGCCGCTGAACCTGGTGACCTCTGCCTCCTGCCTCTCCCCTGTGCCTTTCAGTCCCAGGGAGGAAGGCACATCCCAGTGAATCCTGACACAGTAACAGCCACCTCTGGCTGCTGGCCCAACCCTGTCTGGAGTACAGGAAGACATGTCACCCTTGGCCAGAGAAGGAAGGAGTGGGGAAGCAGAGGGTCAGTGGGTGTCCCCTCCTGCCTTGCACCAGGCCTGGCCCGAGTGTGGCCACAGGCGACGTCAGCAGGAAGCAGGATCCGGCGGGCGGGCGGGCGGGCGGGGCATGTCCCAGAGTTATGTAACACTTGGCCTCAGTGTCTTCTGCGAGGTTTCCCTCCCCCTCCTTATGGCCGAAGGTTACCCTTTTCTCCCATCTGTGAATGCAGGCCCCTCGGGCTCAGCTTCCATGTTCCTCAGTCTCTGTCCTCCTCAGCCTTGGCCCGGCCCCGCCTTGTTTTCTGCTGTTAATCTCTTCTACCTGAGGCTGCACAGGCCTGCAGAGAGATGGTCCGGCCAGGAAATGTTTGAACCTGGCTGGCATTCAAATCTGGGTTCCTCGACTCATGAGCTGTGTGGTCTTGTGCATGTGTCTGTCTCTCTGAGCCACTGTCCCTGTCTATCAGGTTCATTCATCTAAAGACGTAGTTACAGAGCATCTGTTCTGTGCCAGACACTGTTCCAGGTATGGTGGGAATATAGCAGAGAACAAAGATCCCAGCCCTTGAGGAACTGGTGCGAGGGACAGGTTCGCACACTCAATTTTGGAATGGAGTCTGAAGATGCTATCTCATCTGAAGATGAGAGGAGTGTAGTAGAAAATGATTGATGGTGGAGGTGGGAGGGATGAGCTAATGATGGAGTGATCAGGGAAGACCTCTCTGATGTCTGAGCTAAGGCCCGAAGGAGGTGAGGAAGTGAGTTATGCAGATATCTGGGGCAAGGGTGTCCAGGCAGAGGAACAGCCGGTGCAGAGGCCCTCTGGCTAGGAGGGCAATGTGTTTGTAGCACAGTCCCTGAGGAGGGAAGAGGGGGGAGCAGCTTGGAGAGGCAGGCAGGGTCCAGGACTGGATCACACAGGGCCATGTGGATGGAGGGAGGACTTGGGAATTTTATCCAGGTGTTGGAGAGTTTGAAGCAGGGGGTGACATGCCCTGATATGCAGAGCGGCTGTGCAGATCCGATAAATTAATACCAGAAACCACTTGGCGCATAGTAGGTGCTTAGTAAACATCAGCCGTAATGACCGATGCCATCACCAGCATCTCGTATTCCACACACACCGGATCCCACAGTGCTGGACCATGTGTGTAAGGATTAACTGTAACTCCTGGGACTCTCCCTGAGACCCAGCCTTGTGGGGATTCAGGGTGTTGGCACCATCCTGGTCCGCTGCCTCAGAGGCCCCACCCTGCCCCCCACAGAGAGACCTTGCTCTCCAGGATGGTGGGCGCCACGAGCAGGCCGACAGGAGACCCCTGTTCCCTGCGAGACTCTGAGTATCTCCCATGTCCCAGCCACTGCCCGGGCAGCTCAAGGCACCCAGCCCTGAGTCTTTCCTGAGCCTCTGTCTGCCAAAAATAGATTCGGGAAGCAGGGGCAGCCCTCGGCCGCAGCCGCAGAACCCACATGCCACCACTTTCTCAGGCCGCCGCAGGCTCGAACTCTCCTGGGAGAGGCTCAGGGTTCGGGGCAGGGCTGGGACTGGGCCCAGGACATGTGCGGGGTTGCAGAGCTGGGCATCCCCCTGGGCCCTGCGGGCACTGGCAGGGGCAGGGCTGTGGCCCTCCGGCCGACTGTTGGTGACGGAAACTGTGACTAACGGACGAGCAGACGTTTCCCTTTTCCTCCCTGCGTTCCAAGCGGCTGTGCTCAGAGGAACCCTGTTTGCTCAGGAAGAAGGCAGGACAGGAAGTGATCCCATTCCCTGCCTGTGGCTGGGGCTTGGAGCCTGAGAACCCTTCTCCTCCCCTTCATGAGGCCCAGCTCCAGCCTGGCCATGGTGAAGGGCCGGGGTGGGCAGGGCCCACCTGGCATTTGCCCGAGAGCAGGCTGTGTGGTCTGGATGTCAGGCAGCTTTTTCTTGGAGTCTGGGCGCACCAGTGCAGAGGGATGTGTGGTTCCCTGTGGCTGCCGCAAGGAAGTACCACAGACCGGCACAAACAACAGAGACGTATTCTCTTCCAATTCTGGAGGCCAGACGTCTGGAACCAGCGTCCGCAGGGCTGTGCTCACGTTCAAGGCTGCAGGGGAGCCTCTTGCATCTTCCAGTGACTGCTGGCAGTTCATGACATTCCTTGGCTTGTAGCTGCATCCCTCCACATGTGTCTCGGCTGCCACAGGGTCTTCATGTCCCTGAATCCGTATTTCCCTCTTCTTCCACGACTGTCAGTCCTGTTGGATTTAGGGCCCACCCCACTCCAGTGTGGCAACATCTTAACTAATGACATCTGCAGGATCCCATTTGTAAGTAAGGTCACGGTTTGAGGTTCCGGGTTGATGTGAACTTTGGGGGACACCATTCAACACAATACAGGGCTCTTGGCTGAGAGCTGCGGGTACCTCCAGGTGTGGCGGGGGGCCTGCCTCTTTCTCAGCAACCCCAGAGGGATCAGGCTGCTGCCGCTCCTGTCACACCAGGCTGTGGTGGGCACCCCCCAGTGCCTTTCCAGTCCCCCTGGGAGTCCCCAGTCACTTCGAGATGCTGCCTCCACGATGCCCCTGCTCTCAGCTGTCTGTGCGTTCAAGCCCACGAAGGCTGGCCTTTCACAGTTGCTCAGCAAGTCAGTCAACAAACACTTTCGGAGTCTCTACCTGGCTCACCATGGGGACAAAGAGACACCCACTTCTGTGAGCCACAAAGATGAGCGGTTTGATGACGGTGCCTAAGTTGGGGAAGAAGGGTGGGCTCTGTGAGTGAGGAGCTGGGGTTCCCAGGAGCAGGGAAAGTGGAGGCCCCACGACGTGGGCTTCTTTCCATTCCGGGACACACCCGGAATGTTCCCCCGACGGAGGCCTTTGCACCTGTGACTCCCTGCACCTGCCACTCTCATCCAGAGCCTGGCTGGCCCCTTCCCTCTGCCGTCAAATCTTGGCTCAAATGTCACTTCCTTGCAGAAGCCCTTCCGGACTGTTCTGTCCAGAGGAGCACCTGCCCTTGTGCTCTTTGTCCCACCTCATTTCACCTGTGCAACCCTCTGAGTGGTGCTTCTGTGTGAAGAGCACATTGCTGGTCTCCCCAGCGGCAGGGCAGCCTCCGAGGGTCTACCCCTTGTCTACCCCGTGCGTTGTGTCCCCACAGCCCTGGTGTGCAGAACCGGGCACACAGTAGGTGTTCTGTAAAAATTCAGGAAATGAAATGCGAGCTTCCCAGGCTGGCCTGTCCCCTGGGGACGAGTGAGACTTGCATAGCAAGGAGAAGCTTCTGTATTCATTCACTCCACATGTGCCGATGAAGCTGACAGGGTGTCCCCAGGAGGCGTGGTCACTCTGGCTAGGAGAGTCCTGGGCAGTGTCAGACAGGTTATCTCACGCTCAGGAAGGATATCAAGGTGGCTGGGGGGCCCGCCTGTACCCAGAGTGTATCTGGGGCTCAATGGAAGAATAAAGGCCCCGGTAAAAATAACCCCTGGCACACTTGGTTGCCGAGGTGGGGTGTGAGGGGGACGGTCACCCTCATTGCCACATGGCCAGGATCACTGTCCTTTGCACCTGTGGTGAGGCCCCAGGCATGGGGAGTCCCCAAGCTGACAGCCCAGGCCCCAGGCCCCAGCCCTGATCTGCTGCTTCCCTGTGCCCAGGAGAAGGAGAGGAACGCGCGGAGGAAGAAGAAGAAAGCCCCGGCAGCGGCCAGCGAGGAGACCGCGTTCCCGCCCGTGGTGGAGGATGAGGAGATGGAGGCGTCGGGCGTGAGCGGAAACGAGGAGGAGATGGTGGAGGAGGCCGAAGGTGAGGGCTGGCGCAGCTTGGCGGTGGCTGGCCGCTGTGGGTCCAGGCTCTGAGGGAGGGCATGGTGGGAACTGACCCCGGCAGCGTCCTCTCCCCTGAGTCATCTGGGTCCTTCTTAGAAGGGGCTTCGACTCCCTGGAATGGGAGGGCCTGACTTGCCAGAAACTCACCAGTAATGGGCACGAGATTGATGGCCACAGCAATACCGAGAATAATCAGCTTCTCTGGGAGCCCCAAGCCTTACTCAGCCCTTCTGATGCCCATGAGTTCAGTCTTATGCTTGGGTAACCGGATGTCCAGGCCAGCCCTGTGGGTGCCTGCTGTCTTTCACCCCATCCGGTGTCACAGTTTAGAAAAGAATTTACTTTGGAAAATAGTTTTGTTTGTTCGTTTTGTTTTTCTTCAGACGGAGTCTTGCTCTGTCGCCCAGGCTGGAGTGCAGTGGCGTGATCTCGGCTCACTGTAACCTCTGCCTCCCGGGTTCAAGCAATCCTGCCTCAGCCTCCTGAGTAGCTGGGATTACAGGCGTGTGCCACCACACCCGGCTAATTTTTGTATTTTTAGTAGAGATGGGGTTTCGCCATGTTGGTCAGGCTGGTCAGGCTGGTCTCAAACTCCTGACCTCAGGTGATCTGCCCGCCTTGGCCTCCCAAAGTGCTGGGATTACAGGTGTGACCCACCACACCAGGCCTGAAAATTGTTTTTTGACCAGAACTCTTTTACAAGGTAACCGGTATAAATAGAACCTATCTGTCAGTCGGGAAGTATTGTAAACGTTATATAGTTATTTTTAGTGCCTCCTTTTACTCCCAAGTGTCCCTATTTGGGTGATAAATAATTCGGTCCCCTTCTTTGGTGTCCCTGTTTTCTGTATGGGGAAACTGAGGCTCGGGCACTTAAAGGTCTGGGCCCAGGTGCCCCAGGTACCACAGAGTGTGTTGTTCTACCAGCTGTAGACTAGACAGATGCCCCACCAGGTGAGTGCTGCTGAAGAGAGGGCGTAAAGCCATCATGTGCGCGGTGCTGGCAGGTCTCCCCGGTCCCCTCAAATGGAGGACTGTGACCACATGAGCTGTGTGTTATCCAGGGCTCCGGATAACACATGGCTCAATTTTGTTATCAGTGTTTATAGACCCGGGAACTGAACACGGGCTGCCCACACCTGGCCCCATACTCTTGGTCACGAGTTCATCCACCTTCGACCCCCTGTGGCTCATTTTCTCTGTCAAAGAAGAAGTTGGGGGTCTAGACCGTTCCCACTGTGACGTGACCAAAAGCCCCTGGAGGACCCCAGCCCTTCTCGGTTGAGTGTCCCTGACTCTCTGAAGGAGACACGAGCAGCCCAGCGGAGCCCAAGTTCTTGGTGAATTCAACCCTCCTTCCTCCTGCCCCGTCAGGAGTCCTTCTGTTGTTCCCGTCCTCCCTCCCTCTCTGCCTTTGAATGCACCGGCTCCTCCCTGGCAGAAGGTGCAAGTCACCTCCTGGTTCTATAAGCCCGGCCTGCAGATAAATCCAGGTTCCTCCAACCTGCAGTGTTTCACCAGCCCGAATCCCAGCTCCTGACTGGGAATGGGCAACTGGGCCCTTGGGTGACTGTCATCTCACGCTGGGGGTGGGGCAAAGGCCCTGAGTCAGGCCTCCCCACCAGCTTTGGGTCTCTCTGACCCAAGTTGGCCAAAAGCCTGGCCAGTGTCTGACAGAAGGAAGGCCAGGGCCGCGAGTCCCTTGGGTCATCCCATTTTGGGTTCTGGGTCTGTAGCCAGGACAAGAGAAGACCCCGGGAACAGAAACCCAGTCCCTTCTGTAAATATCCCTCCAACTGTCTGAATGGGCAGGATGCAGGCTTGGTGGGAGCATTGTAAGAAGCCAAGCTTTGGCCACACGTTAAAACCGGAGCAGACACTGCCCAGAACTGTGTGGTCATGACCCCCGCCTCGCTTGCAGGGCTTACAAAGCCCAGTAGGGATGGGGAGAGGCGTGCTCTGCTGGGTGGGGGAGGAGGGAGGGCTGAGCTGGCTGGAGCTGAGGCTTTTGTGACGACGTGGTGGTCTTCTGTGGCCACTCTGAGAGATCGGGGACAGAGATCAGAGGCCCTGATTAAGCCTTCTGGTGCCCAGGGTGTTACCCCATCTTAAGGATGAGGAGACTGAGGCTGGGGGAAAGGAGAACCCGTCCCATGGGGAGTCCTGGCACATAGCTGGTAGGCTCGGGGTCTGCCGGCCCAGCCAGCGCACACCGCGTGACCTGTCTTTTGTGCTCAGGATGGGGAGGTGAGGCAGGTGCTGGGTTGGAGCCTGAGGCTGCCCTGCCGGAATCTCCCCGGAGACCCAGCCAGCCCCAGCAGCACTGCAGGCCCCTCCCCGGGGGCGGTGGAAAGGACCTTGTTGATCTGGGCTGGAAGTATACCAGCGCAGGGCTGGGAGGGATCCCCTGGCCCAGTGGTTTCTCTGGTAATAATAATCCTCATAGTGGATGAAGCAGGTGCTACTGTTCTCCCCATTTTACAGGTGGGGAGACTGAGGCATAGTGGGGTTATCCAAGGCCCTGCCTTGGATATTCAAACCCAGGCAACCTGGTACTGGGCACCTCCGGGCAGAAAGGAAAGGAGGCCATCTGGTGGTGTCTTTATTTTTTATTTTTGGTGGGTTTTTTTTGTCGCTCTTATTAGGCACCTACTGTGTGTCAGGCGCTGCACAGAGCACTTCACCTGGATTCTAGGGCAGCGGTGGCAGGGTGTTCCCTGGGATTTGTTAGAAGTGCTGATTCTCGGGCCCCAGTCCACACGTACCGAATCAGAAAGCTTCAGGGCATGGCGCAGCCACCTGCATTGTCACAAGCCCTCGGGGTGCTTCTCACGCAGGCTCCTGCCCCAGACCCTTGATAACCATGAGAGCGAGGCGTTAACTGCCCATTTTGTAGATGAACAAACTGAGACCCAGAGGTTTCATCCCTGGTCCTGGGGCCCTCAACGTTGGCCTCCCAACGTCCCGCACTCTGACTGTGGAAGGAAGGGAATGACATTGCTGAAGTCACCAGGCAGAGGAAGGCCAGGGGTTGGAGATGCAGGAAGCTGGGCTCAGTGCTCTCCCCTCCACAGCGTGGCCTTGGGCAAGCTGATGAACCTGTCCACCTCCATTTCTTCATCTGTACATGAGAGATGATGGTCCCGGTGTTAGAGGTCTTAAAGGAGTCACGTGTGAGGAACTCGGCACGGAGCCTGGCCTGCACGCAGCCTGCGTTGCTGTCGTTGCTATTGTTTCTAAAAGAGGTGGCCTCTGCTCTGGGGCGTGAAGGGAGGCAAGAAGCAGGAGAGACTGGGGGATTGGTGGGGGGCAATGATGGCTGAAGAGGTCTCAGCAGACCCAAAAGCTTCTCCCTGCAACCTTGCCCACCCCTGAGGTCAGCACCTCCCACCCCAAGGCATCCTGGGAGCCTGATGACTTAGGGCAAGGACACCCAGAGTGGCTGAAGCTCACTTTTCACCCTGACCAACGCCATTATTGGCTGGCCTTGAACAGGCCACTGGACCAGCCTGTGCAGGGCTATTGCAGGTCACCTGCGGCCACTGGCCAGAGCCTGGAGGGAGAGGGCTCATCGGTCCAAGGTGAAGGGCAGTCGGGGCAGGAGAGCGAGCAGCAGCGAGGTCTCACTGCTGTGCACCAGGCTCCAGGCCCCTCTTGGCCACGTTGCCTCCTCCCTCACCTCCCACTACCTGGTGCCGCCTGGCTTCTAACTCTTTTCTGACTTCCTTCCAGCCTTACATGCCTCTGGGAATGAGGTGCCCAGAGGGGAATGCAGTGGCCCAGGTACGAATGTGGCCGGCTGGCCTGGGGGGTAGGGCTGGGCCGGGGTGGGCATCCCGAGGTCCCCGGTCCTCCACAAGGAACCCTGCTTCTGGGCACATGCTCTTTCTGTGAGCACCACCGTTTGTGTTCCGTGGCCTCTGGGCTTCCTTTCCAGCAAAGTGGCTGTTCCCCATGCTGGTCCCGGGCTCACTCCAGCAGACCAGTTTCCCGTCTCCACTGCTTCATTGATTTTCACTGGCACACTTGGGTCTCCCACCAGGTTTGATTTCCCTGATAGCAAATGCAGGGGTTTTCAAGTATCCCCATTTTACAGAAAATGGGAACATTGAGACCCAAAGAAGAACCTGGTGTGGGTTTGGGGGCTAGAGGGCCAGGACTGCGGCTGAGGTCTCCTCGCCATCCTTGGGTACATGCTTTCCTCCTGCCACTCCGTCAACACAGGCCACTCTCCTGCTGCGTAAAACCCATGCCAAGGCCGTTGGTGTGGGCTGTGCCCCGGGGGCCCTGTGCACGCACTGGCCTCATTGTCCACTGTGCCCGGGCCCCTGTGCACGCACTGGCCTCATTGTCCACTGTGCCCGGGCCCCTGTGCACGCACTGGCTTCATTGTCCACTGTGCCCGGGCACCTGAGCACGCAGTAGCCTCATTGTCCACTGTGCCCGGGGCCCCTGTGCACGCATTGGCCTCATTGTCCACTGTGCGCGGGCTGCTGTGCACGCACTGGCCTCATTGTCCACTGTGCCCAGGGCCCCGCACACACACTTGCCCCGTTCTGCACTGTCATGTGATGATGATGGTGGCGATGATGGTGCAGCATCAGGCAGTCACCAGGCAACTGCCCTTGCCATCACAATCGCCGGCTTCTCTGCCCTGTGAGATGGGAACTGTTATTCTCCCATTCTACAGATGGGAAAACTGAGGCCCAGGAGGTAACCTGAGTTTCCCATGGCACACAGCCAGTGCGGGGCAGAGCTGGGGTTAGAGCTCAGATGAGAACACGGAGACCCCCCAGAACGAAGGCCTTTGCCCATGCCCGCCCTCAGGCTGGCTCCATCGGTCGGGGGTGCTGACCACCAGGAGGTCCTGGGGTTGGGAATTAACCAGGTTATGCCAGCAGGGTCAGTTCGGGAGAAAGGCGGCCAGGGGAGGGCAGCAGCTGTGGGTAGAGGCCTGGCCAGGGGCTTTGTCTCAGGGGTGGGGCTCCAGGCAGGGGCCCAGGTGTATAGGAGCCTCAGGGCTGTTTTGGTGTCAGGCAACAGAACGGCCTCATCCCGAGGGTCAGGGCCACGCATCTCTCCTGGAGTCCCCCCAGACCCTGCTCATCCCCTCTTCCTTCTTGCCCTGCACAGCCACTGTCAACAACAGCTCAGACACCGAGAGCATCCCCTCCCCTCGCACTGAGGCCGCCAAGGACACAGGGCAGAATGGGCCCCAGCCCCCAGCCACCCAGAGCACCGATGGGCCACCCCCGGAGCCACCCACCCCGCCGCCGGAGGACATCCCGGCCCCCACTGAGCCCACCCCCGCCTCTGAAGCCACCGGACCCCCTACGCCCCCACCAGCACCCCCATCGCCTTCTGTACCCCCTCCTGTGGTCCCCAAGGAGGAGAAGGAGGAGGAGGCCGCAGCGGTGTCCCCAGTGGAGGAGGGGGAGGAGCAGAAGCCCCCCGCGGCTGAGGAGCTGGCAGTGGACACAGGGAAGGCCGAGGAGCCCATCAAGAGCGAGTGCACGGAGCAAGCCGAGGAGGGGCCGGCCAAGGGCAAGGATGCGGAGGCCTCTGAGGCCACGGCCGAGGGAGCACTCAAGGCAGAGAAGAAGGAGGGCGGGAGCGGCAGGGCCACCACAGCCAAGGGCTCGGGCGCCCCCCAGGACAGCGACTCCAGTGCCACCTGCAGTGCAGATGAGGTGGATGAGCCTGAGGGCGGCGACAAGAACCGGTGAGTGGGCGCCAGGCAGCCCTAACCTTGGCTTTTGTCTGCAGACACTGAGCGGCGACTACCTACTTAGACAGCCGCACCCGGTGTGGCTCTGCCTGCTTTGGGGGAGCCTGAGGTGTGGTTAGGGAGGCAGACTCGGAGTAGAGTCCAGGAATGGGAGATGCACGCTGGGAGGGGGCGGAGGTGTGGCCGGGAGCATCTCCCCAGGAGGTGACATCCAAGCTGAGACCCGGACAGAGGAGGCAGCCCTGGGCAGCACCAGGGAGAGAGTGTGCCAGGCAGCCTGCTCGCTTCCTAGGGCCGCCCTTACAAGGTAGCTCAAGCCAGGTGGCTTGAAACAAATACAGTCCTGGAGACCAGGAGCTCGGGGGCACCGTGAGGCCGGGCCACACCCTCTGAGCCTCTTGGCAGATCAATCCCGCCTCTTCCAGCTCCTGGCTGCTGCTGGCAGTCGTGGTTGCCAGCACACCACTCCGTCTTTGCCTCTGCCGTCGCATGACCTTTGCCCTGTGCATCTCTATGTCCACATTTTCTTCTTCTGAGGACAGCAGGCATTGGATGAGCAGCTGCCCTAATCTAGTCCAGCTTCATCTTAACTTGATTATATCAGCAAACAGCCTGTTTCCAAATAAGGTTACATTCACAGAGACCCTGGGTTGGGACTTGAACGTACCTTCTTTCGGGGGGACACAGTTCTACCCTCAACGTGGTGGGAACAGCAAGTGTGAAGGCCCGAGGTGGGAATGAGCTTGGTGGATTCAGGTGTCGAAGGGTGGAGCGAGTGGCTCAGGGAGGGGGGCAGCCTTGCAGAATGGGGAGCAGCTCTCACAGGGTTGGGGGCGCTGAGTCGCACCCTGGCAGGTGAGGGCTGCATTTCTTCTCAGGGCAGTGAGAAGGCCTTTGCGAGCCTCTCCCAGAGAGCCAGATGTGATTTACCCATGAAACCATGTGGGGGATTTGCTGGGAGTGAGAGGCACAGTCAAGAGGCAGCTGCAGGTGCCCTGGGGCCGGGGATGGAGAGGCGAGTGTGGTGGCCATGGTGATGGGGAAAAACCACAGATTCAACATGTTTTTGGTGGTTCATCTCCTATCAGCCAAGGGTCCAGGGCTCGGGATCACAGGTGATCACCTTGGATCACCTTGGATCACAGGTGCAGCGGTTCCCCTTGCAAAAACCTCTCCAGCTGGGGTAGCCTGGAGGACCCCAGCGCCGTCTTGTTTGGGTGCCAATGTCTCTGATGTGTGTTCTTTCCTTTCTGGCCTCTGTCTTTGCTCCTGGCCTGGGTGACCCCACATCCCTGAGAATGCCGCCTTTTACCCATTTTCAGCACAGATGCTTTGGGCCTCAAGGCCTCCAGCCCAGAACCAAAAACGGCTACCCGAGTTAGGGCCGATCTTGGGTGGCAGAGGGCAGACCTGCAGAGACTGTGTCCCGCTCGCGTCTGGTTGGCTGGAGGAATTGTTTTCTGGTGGGGCAGGCGGGCCATTTTATTTTGACTGCACTGTGGTCTGTTTCCTCCCCTCCCAAGTCCCTTGGAATGGTCCTGGGCAGAGCGAGCGAGGGAGGAAAATCGGACCCGCAGGGTCATGTGGGGCCCTTGTCTCTGCTCTGGGGTTCACCCTGGGCCATGTTAAAGGGGGAAGTCCTAGGACATTCCCTAGGAACTGAGGTTCACCCAGATCTCTACAGGTTCCACAAAACAAAATCTCAGGGTCCCCGGGAACCACTGCTGACAGGAACCACGCCCATGTGTGTAAGAAGTGGATGGCCTGACCCTGAGCCTGTACTGAGCAAAGGCTTGGCCAGCGGGATTCTGAGGGTACCGAACTCCCCAGCTAATGGCCCGACAGTCTCAGCTTGGAAAACAGTGCTCACAGTGCGGCTGGGTCTGCCCTAGAGGCAGGCAGCCAGGACCTTTGTGCCTGGGAAGCGGGGTCAGGGCGGGACTCCCTATCCCGCTCCCACTGGCTGTGGGGACAGTCATGGAAACACATGTTTCTGCCTTCGAGGGGGAAGCGCTGAGGTCATGGGGCAGCCCCACTGATAAGCTGCCTCCTAGAGTCTGTGTTTTGGGTACATGTGGCTGGCCCCGGGCTGGGGAGCCGGGGGATCAGCTTGCATCCTGTCCGTCCCCAGAACACTCAGACTGGGCCTGAGGCCCCGCAGGGCACTTGCAGCCTCCCGTCCTCTCCCCTGCAACCCCACCCAGGGCGGTGTCCTCCCTCCCCCAGCTGGGCCTGGCGTGCGTCCACCCCTTGCCCAATGTCCAGCACACAGCCCCCGGGGTGCAGGAGTCCTCGGCTGGGAGTCAGGACACCTGGTTTGTCCCGCCCTGTGCGACTGGGCCCAGGCCCCCGCCCTTGGGGCCTGCCTTGCCCTCGCAGCGAATGAGGCTGGACTCTGGCCAGCCTGCTGACCTCGTCCTGGCCGGCAGCCTGCCACCCCTCCCTGTGCCGGCCACGACTGCGCAGGGCCGGGCGGCGCTGGAGGACGCCGACGAGATGCGTCAGAGTAGGCCCCGGCAGCCAGGGCCTCCCGGGAAGGGCTGGCGGGACGGGGCAGGCCCCCCAGGCGACCCCTGCTCCTGGCTGCCTGCCCAGGACCGTCCCTCCCGCCTGGCAGCCCCAGTGGGGGAGCTCTGCGTTCCTGGATGGATGCAAGATGACTCTCGTCTGGGCCCTCCCGGGTGACTTTGGGAGAAAGAAAATCACATGCTCCTTGGGCCCGCGGGCACTGTTGTCGAGGTGGCTCTGCCTGGGTGTTTTCTTGGCAGATAACCAGAGATAGTGGCTTTGATTGCAAAACCCCAAGCCTGCCTGCCCTCCCCTCTCTTATTCTTCAGAGAAGGTGTCTGGGTGCTTTTTGGCAGGGCCTGACCTTGTGAGTCCCCTCCCCCAAACCTCAGTTTTCTGTCTGTAAGGTGGGTGTGGATGGCTTATCGCAAGAATAACTCAGTTAATGCTGGGCCACAGTGGGTGCTCAGTGAGAGATTAGCTGCCCTCCTTTGGATCTGCTTTGGGACACCCCCCAAGAGGTCACCCCAAGAGAGGGCTGGAGTGCAGCTCCTTCAGCTGTCCCTCTGGCATTTTGGAAGATCATAACAGCAGTTGCACCTTTGTTACTTTATTCTGCAAGTGACTGATGGCACCAGCGTGCACCAGGCGCCAGGGGTGCTGGAAACTGCGCAGACGAGGCCCTGACTTCGGGCACTTACATTCTAGTGAGGGCGTGGAGAAGGAAACCATTGTTTATGGGATAAGTGGGTGATGGGAAGATGGGGCATGGGGAGCGGGGGAGAGTGGGCTGGTCAGGCGGGGAGGGCCTCTGGGGAAGTGACATTGGAGGGCAATGAGAGCCTTAGTGTGAGGGACAGCCATACCCCTGGGAACCACCAGTGCAAAGGCCCTGTGGCCGCATGAGCGTATGTCCAGTGGACAGCAGAGAGGCCTATAGCAGGGAGTAGAGTGGAGTGAGCAGCCCCGGGAAGAGAGGGCGGAGAAGTCAGAGAGGTGGGCAGGCCCCATGGGTGGGAGTGACGGGTCAGGGTTTTATCTTGGGGCCTTGGAGAGGCAAGGGATGCCTGTTGACAAACCAGCCCTCCCTCTCCCTCCCAGCCCTAGGGTGGTGGCAAGGATTATCCCAGCTTGATGACCATGGGGAAACTGAGGCAAGGGCTGGGTGGAGAGGGGACGTACTGTTGCAGGCCCAGCATGTTCCTGATGAATGTCCCCAGGCCCTTGTTCCCCTTCTCGTGCCCGCCCCCTTCTCCCACCCTGGCCTTCCTGAGTGGGAAGGAAAATGACAGTGAGGAGAAGGTGGCCTGACCCACTCGGCCCCACGTGCTAGTCACCAGCATCCCCACGCCCACCCACGGACAGCCCTTGAAGCTCTCGTCTCCACTCTCCAGATTGAGAAACCGAGGCACAATTGGCTAAGTCTTACGGTCAAAGAGGGGATCCGAGCTTTTGCTCGCAACTGCCAGGTTGGGTAGGCAGGACGGAGCCACTCCCGGACACATGCTCCGTGCCAGGCCCTGAGAGTCCCCGCCCCACCCAGGCCTCCAGAAAGGAAAATGGAAGCGGCTGCCTTCCAAGAAAACAAAGAAGAGAGGCTGGGCGCGATGGCTCATGCCTGTAATCCCAGCACTGTGGGAAGCCAGGTGGGTGGATCATTTGAGGTCAAGAGTTCAAGACCAGCCTGACCAACACGGTGAAAGCCCGTCTCCGCTAAAATACAAAAAAATTAGCCAGGTATGGTGTCACGTGCCTGTAATCCCAGGTACTAGGGAGGCTGAGGCAGGAGGATCACTTGAGCCCAGGAAGCAGAGCTTGCAGTGAGCCAAGATTGTGCCACTGCACTCCAGCCTAGGCAACAGAGCAAGACTCCATCTCCAAAAAAAATAAATAAATAAATAAAATGAAGGAGAGAGAGTGGAGGGTGGAGAGAGCCAGCCGGGAGGGCCTCTGGAGGCGCGCTTCTCCAGCACGGCTACGGGACAAGGGGCGGTCAGATGGGCCCTGAGCTCTGAGCGTTTTCCACCTTCCTCCTCCATGTTGGCAGCTGCTCTCTGGGGGCTTAGGACTCTCGTTCTCCTCGAGGACTTGAACCCAGCCCTTGTGTTGACTGTGGCCTTCTTTACCCATGAGAGAGCTCTGGCTGGGATCAGAAGGCCTCTTGTAAACTGTAAAGTGCTACCTCTATGACCACAGTCCCCACTTGCTCTGGGGGCTCAAGAAAGAGGGATCTGGGCCTCTGTGTGCCCCCCAGAGGGTGCCTGCTGAGAGCTTCTGGGCAGCAGCCCCTGCCCCCCCCCGCCCCCTGCCAGTCTGACTGCCCACCCCCTACTAGGTGAGGGGCCACAGGGAAACCAAGGCACAGGGAGCTCTCAGGCCCCACACAGAAAGCCCGAGCTCTCGGGCAGATTGCATGGACAGTGGCGCCTCATGTTTTGTGTGTGTTATACAGTCATATTTTTTATCTCTATAGAATTATCTTTACACATATACAAAAGTTTGCATTTCAACCTTAAAATTTGTATTTTATTGTTTTTCTATTTGTACACACATAAAAATACTATTTTTACCGTTCATAGAGAAAATACAGCTGATACATCAAACCCTTTATTTTATGGCTAGCATGTAGTCTTCATTTCATTTTGTAACAGTGTAATTAAGATATCATTCATATACCATACATTGCACCATTTAAAGCGTATCGTTTAGGCCAGGCGCAGTGGTGCACACCTGCAGTCCTAGCCCTTTCAGTGGCTAAGGCAGAAGGATGGCTTGAGCCCCGGAGTTCAAGACCAGCATTGGCAACATAGAGAGACCTCGTCTCTACAAAAAAAAAGAAAAAAAAAATGCAGAAATCAATGAGGCATGATGATGTGTGCCTTTAGTCTCAGCAATTCCAGAGGCTGAGGTGAGAAGACTGCCTGAGCCCGGGATGTCGAGGCTGCAGTGAGACTGCACCAGTGCACCCCAGCCTGGGTGACATAGCAAGACCCTGTCTCAAAAAAAAATGTGTATCATTTAGCTTTTCTTAGTATATTCAGTGTTATACTAAGAAAGAAACCCTATGCCCATCCTAGTCACCCCCATTCTCCCTTCTGCCAGCCCCAGCACCCACTCATCTCCTTTCTCTCTGGATGGATTGGCCCATTCTGGAATTTTCACAGGAACGGAGTCTACACGAGAGGCCTTCTGTGACTGGCTTGTTTCATGCACATCGTGTCTTCAGGGTCCACCCACGTCATAGCCCGTGTCAGAGCCTCATGCCTTTTGATGGCCACGTGTTCCATTGTGCGGACAGGGCACGCTTTGTCTCCCCATTCATCTGTTGGTGGATGTCGGGTTGTCTCTGCCTTCTGTTGTGGGCTGTGCGGTGCTGCCATGATGGGCGCGTACAGGTTTCTGCGTAGATGTTTTCTCTCATTTGCCTGGTGTGTGCCTAGGAGTGGAGCTGCTGGGTTTAGGGCAATGAGGACTCACCACCCTCTTTCCAAAGTGGCTGTGGCATTCTGTTTTAAATTTAAGCTTGCAAGTGCGAGCTGGTTGAAACGGATGGCAGTAGATAAACCTGGGGGAAGGGACATGGGGGTGGCGGCAGTTGAAGCCGCAGGCGGAGTATGCTGGGATGGGTGACTACCATCTGTGTTTGAACCTGGGTCAGGGTGCCTTGTCCTGAGGATGGCGGGGAGGGCACGGCTGGGCCCAGGTCCAGGGAGCGAGGCAGGGCAGCGGCCAAAGGAGAGGCTTTAGGTGGTCCTGGGAGATCACGCAGGGTCTAGACAGGTGGAGGGAGGGGAGAGAGGAGAGTGGGCCGGTGGTGGGGGCGGTGGAGGTGCATGCAGAAGTCAGGGTGACCTTCCTCGTCTGGCCCCCGCCTGGGCGCCGTGGGCAGCCTCAGCAGGCGTCACCGAGTCTGTGTCTGCTCTCCCCGCTCAGCTGAGCGTGTGGCAGATGCGGGCAGCAGGCTGGTTCCTGCAGGACAGGCTGGTCACATGCCGGTGGCCCCAGGGTCCTGCTATGGCAGACAGTGGAGAGAGGACTGCTGGCAGAGGCCTCAGCACCCTGGGCATGGGCCCTGCTCATCTGCAGGAAGGAGGTGGGTGCTTCTGGGCACCTGGCATCCCGCACTGGCAGCTGAGTGCTGGGGTGGTGTGAGCTGTGTCCCCGTTGTCACAGCTCTCACCTCGAGGCCAGTAGGCTGTGGCTTACGGTCTGCACAGGATGTCGTCACTGTGGTCATGGCACAGAGTAGAGGCTGTGCCGACAGGACCTGCTGGCTTCTTGCACCCAGAAGTTTTGCCTTCTGACTGAATTCCAGGCCCTCACGCCTGCCGTGTGATCATTTCACTAGCTCAGAAGACCTAGGACACAGACTGGGTTCTGCATTGCCTCCAAATACCCCCAAACGCAGGCCAGGCTGCTTCCATACCCCCAAACGCAGGCCAGGCCGCTTCCGTACCCCCAAACGCAGGCCAGGCTGCTTCCATACCCCCAAACGCAGGCCAGGCTGCTTCCGTACCCCCAAACGCAGGCCAGGCCGCTTCCGTACCCCCAAACGCAGGCCAGGCCGCCTCCATACCCCCGAATGCAGGCCAGGCTGCTTCCGTACCCCCAAACGCAGGCCAGGCCGCTTCCGTACCCCCAAACGCAGGCCAGGCCGCCTCCATACCCCCGAACGCAGGCCAGGCTGCTTCCGTACCCCCAAACGCAGGCCAGGCTGCTTCCATACCCCCAAACGCAGGCCAGGCTGCTTCCGTACCCCCAAACGCAGGCCAGGCCACCTCCATACCCGCAAACACAGTCCAGGCCGCTTCTGTACCCCCGAACGCAGGCCAGGCCGCCTCCATACCTGCAAACGCAGTCCAGGCTCCCTCCAAATACCCCTAAACTCAGGCTGGGCCGCCTCCATACCCGCAAACGCAAGCCGGGCCACCTCCATACACCCAAATACAGGCCAGGCTGCTTTATGCCCAGCAAATGCAGGTTGTAGGAGGGAGTCAAGAACTGGGCAGCCCCGGGCAGCCGCACTGGGCAGGTGAAGGGTTCTCAGGCTGGAGCAGATCCAGTTCCTGCCCTCGGAGACCTCATGCCAACTGGGGAGCCAGATGGGGATTATGGCAGGTGTTGTGCCCAGTGTTGTGGCCTTGGAAATCCTGGAAGGCTTCCTGAAGGAAGCAGCACCCACTGAGCAGCTTGGGAGCCACACCTCAATGCAGGCTCTGCTAGGCACCATGTGCCCTGTGTCAGCCTCTGGTTGTGCATCTCAGTAGCAGACAGAGGAAGGAACTGTCACTGTGGCTGACTGGTAGACAGTGGGCATGCCCTGCCTACCCCTCCACACAAAGCCTGTGGCCTGGGCCCTTGTTTTCATGTCCTTGTCCTTCATGGATAGTGTGTGGTAGAGATTCCAGGAAGTAGGTGCGGCTCCCCCACTCCTGCCTCTCTAACCGGAGCTCATTCGGCTCCATGCCCACTGTCCTGCCCTGGCACCCGAGCCTCTCAGATTCGAGTGATGAGGAATCTCTTGGTGAATCTCTTCATTACTCTGTCCCTGAATCGGGCTGATTCTTTGACTTTCTGGCAGCTTCTGGAGGGCCACGTGTGGTGTGGGCCCCAGGTCGGGCTTCTCTGGGATTTTCCTTGCCTGGGGCTGTCTTTGGGGATGTTTGATCCCAGCCTGGGCCTCTAGCATTGTCTGGCTGGCCTCTCAGCCAGGGTGGGGAGGCTGGCTTGGCCCCTGATGAGGCCTGCAAGAACCAGGGGAGTGAGTGAGGAGGCACCTGCCTGCCCACTTGTGCCTCCCCTCCCCTGGCCCCAAACCTTGGTCTGTTTCCCCAAGAAAACGGTTGACATTGTCTGGGTGACCTGCACGTCACCTCGCGTCTCAGGGCCTTAGCCTCGTCCCCAGGGCTTGAGACAGGAGAGGCCGTCAAAACCCAGCAGCCCCCCACCTGGGAGAGTCCGGCTGCGGGCCCCCGGCTGATGATGCTCGTGTCCCCACAGGCTGCTGTCCCCAAGGCCCAGCCTCCTCACCCCGACTGGCGACCCCCGGGCCAACGCCTCGCCCCAGAAGCCACTGGACCTGAAGCAGCTGAAGCAGCGAGCGGCTGCCATCCCCCCCATCGTGAGTGCCCACCCCCAGAGCCCCGCAGAGTCCACCCTGACCTTGACTTTCCCGTTCATCGAGACAGAGAATCCCACGGGTGGGAGCGCGCACCTGCAGCCCAGCTCATCTGCTGCTGTTTCCTGGAGAAGCCCCCGTGGAGATGAGGTGGGAACAGCTGGGGAAGCTGGCAGGCGCACTGGATGGGGCTCCCGGTGAAGGCGGGGACTGGCAGCCTACCGCCTCCCCGCTTTCACCCTGCAGCACCCTTGAACCCCCACATTAGATACTGGGTCATGGGGAGGCAGGAGCTTCCCCCACCCACTCAGTTGTAGCAACAACTTGGCCAGGGAAGGGTGGGGCTTACCCGTTCTGACCCTGGGGCCCTCTGGGAACACCCCCCTGGAAGGTTCTCTCAGCTGGGTGGGTGGGCCCGTGGAGGTGCCTTCTCCAGGGAGGTGAGTCCGGGCTTCCCAGATGCAACTGGGGGTTCCGAGCTAAAAGAAGCTGAGCTGACCAGGCTGGTGGTCCCTCGGGGCTTTGAGTGATGGGCTCAGGGCGTGCCAGGCTGCACCGCCCAGTCCCCCAAGGCCCACAGAGTCCTGTTGCTCAGTCCTGGCTTCCCTGAGACCCAGAGGATTTGGGTCCACGGAAGGAGCTGGAGGAGAGGGTAACGGCAGGCTCCAGCCTCCTGTCCACCACCAGGCTGCTGAGCCAGGCTTTTTGGGAGGTGGGTTCCCCCTGTCCACTGCTGGGCAGCTGGGCTAGGCTTTCTAGGGAGGTGGGCCCCCCTGTTTACTACCAGGCAGCTAGGCCAGGCTTTTTGGGAGGTGGGCCCCCCTGTTTACTACCAGGCAGCTAGGCCAGGCTTTTTGGGAGGTGGGCTCCCCCTGTCCACCGCTGGGCAGCTGGGCTAGGCTTTCTGGGGAGGTGGGCCCCCCTGTTCACCACCAGGCAGCTGGGCCAGGCTTTTTGGGAGGTGGGCTCCCCCTGTTCACCACCAGGCAGCTAGGCCAGGCTTTTTGGGAGGTGGGCTCCCCTGTCCGCCACCGGGCAGCTGGGCCAGGCTTTCTGGGGAAGTGGGCTCTCCCTGTCCATCACCAGGCAGCTGGGCCAGGTTCTGGGAGGTGGGTCCCCATGTCCATCACCGGGCAGCTGGGCCAGGCTTTCTGGGAGGTGGGCTCCCCCTATCCGCCACCGGGCAGCTGGGCCAGGCTTTTTGGGAGGTGGGCTCCCCAATGTGCTCTGTGCTAAGACCTCCCCTTCTTGCCCCACTTGGGACCTTGAGCATGTCACTGGCTTTCCCAGGCCTTGGTTTCCAGGCTGGTCACGTGCATGTCTCTCCCTGACCCTGTCACCGTCGGACACCCTCTGTGGATGCTCACTTCTGCCTGCTTCCCTCAGCAGGTCACCAAAGTCCATGAACCCCCCCGGGAGGACGCAGCTCCCACTAAGCCAGCTCCCCCCGCCCCACCACCGCCACAGCACTTGCAGCCGGAGAGCGACGCCCCTCAGCAGCCTGGCAGCAGCCCCCGGGGCAAGAGCAGGAGCCCGGCGCCCGCCGCCGACAAGGAGGGTGAGTCCACATCAGTGGCTGAGGGGGGCTGGGGCAGCAGGGGACTGATGGACAAGGGATGTTTTTGTGTCCAGAGCAGCTGCTGCAACCCCCACGGCCACAGTGACAGGGAAAGCAAAATAAACGAATAGAACAGTTGAGCAGGCGGAGGCAGTTGGGAATGGTAGGGACTGCGGCAAATTGGAGAACTCATGTTTTCTCTGAAATGGGCATGTATTGGCCTTGGCCAAGAGTAACCCTGTGGCAAATCATGCCTGGGGTGCTTCTTCCAGCAAAGCCAGAAATCCATCTTCTTATGTGAAATCCCCCTGGTTTCTCAACACAGACAACTTCTCAAAATTTTCAAAAGCATTGTGAATACACAAAAACGTGTCTGCAGCCCAGCCTCTGATTTGGTGTGAATCAGTCCACGCAGGAGCTTCTCGAATCACAGATGGGGCCCAGCACCTGGCTGGCAGCAGCTCTGGGGCCTGGACAGGAAGGGCTGCCCTCCCCAGCTGGCATTCTGACCTTGCTCCAGGCCCAGGTCTCTGGGTTCACCAGGAGCCGGGAGAGGGGGTGACTCCTGAGCAGCTGTGTCACAGTGACTGCCCCGGGCACACCTCACTGTCATCACGTGAAGCTCAAGGTTAGGAGACAGGCAGGCGTAGTTGCTTGTTCTCTGGATCTTCAGTCTCTACCCCACTTCCCACTGGGCCCAAGAAATTCTGAACCTGTGTCCCCAAAGAGGCATCTTCTCCAGGTCAGCCTGGCATGCAGCAGGTGCTGTTGTGCCTTGCAGGTGTTGGGGGCTACCTCCCCAGAGGTTATCCACCCTGGGCTAGCCTGGGCGCTTGCTGGCAGGCTGTTCCAAAGGTCTGAGGGCAGCAGGACCCCAGGCCGACCTCCTGACCAGCACAGCCCAGGGACGAACCCGGGTGACTGGAGCTATCACCAGCTGTCCCCTCCCCACTGCCTTGGGTGTGATGTCCCCCTTCTCTTTTTTTTTTTTTTTTTTGAGACAGAGCGTCAGTCTCGCCAGGTTGGAGTGCAGTGGCGCAATCTCAGCTCACAGCAGCCTCCGCCTCTGGGGTCCACCCGAGGCTGGTGGGTCAGGACATTTGTTGAAACCCAAGGCCCCAAGCACCATGCTAGGCAGTGGGGGTTCGGCAGGGAGAAGGGGAAGTCTCTGCTGTGGGGAGCTGCTGTTGTTTTGAGTGAGGAGGATGTTAAACCAGGGAACACGTAATGAAGCAAGATGATTTTAGAGTCGTTCGTCCATCATGAGAAACAAAACGGGTTGAGTGAAGAGGCGGTTCCGGGAAAGACCCTGCGGAGGGGGGAGCAGCCCCGCCACGGGAGATCTCTGGGTGGGCGTTGCGGGCAGAGGGAACAGCACGTGCAAAGGCCCTGGTGTGGAAACACGCTCGGGTGTGTGAGGAGTCACCGGGGGTGGTGTGGCCGGGGAAGGGTGGGCGGGTGGACAGTGAGGGAGGTGGGGGCCGGATTGTGTAGGGCCTCTCAGGCCACAGCAGGCAGTGGATTTTTGTCTCAGGTGTGGCAGGGGCTGCTGGAGGGATTTGAAGTGAGCATGTGTTGTGGAAGGGGAAGGGGGTGCTTGTTATCTGATTTATATTTTGGAAAGCTCTCTCTGGCCGTTGTTGAGTCAAGGGCAGAAGCAGGAGGTCACAGCGCTGCTCTTGGCAGGCGACAGAGGCTGCCTGAACTGCACAGGTGGCTGTGGAGGTGGAAGGAAGGGCGCATCGGGATTTCGTTTTGGAGGCAAAGCCAGTGGGGTGTTGAACCCGGTGTGGGGATGACGCCAGGGGTGTCTCGCTGGAACCGGGATGCCTCATGACAAGGGCTGGGCCGCCTGGGGCCGGGGTACAGTGTGCGGCCCAGGCGGTGGCTCTGGGAGATGTTGCGGGTTTGGAGCACCAGCCCTGGAAGGAGCTGTGTATCCATGTCAGGGGCCCCAGCAGCTTTGGCCAGCATCAGATCTGATCGGGGCTGGAACTGCACGGCGCCAGCCAGGTCCTGCTGAGCCAGGTCATAGGCCCCTGTCCTGGGAGAAAGGGAGCCACCGGCCAGCAGTTTCTGCAGCTGGCACTCAGCCTATTGGTGTGGCCAGGGCCTGTGCCGTTTCCTGGCCTCATTCCCCATGGGGACGGTGCACCTGGCGTCAGGCCCTGCATGCCTTTCTGGCACAGCCTGGCTTGCAGCTCAGCTCCCGCAGGGACACACATGAACTTGACACCCAGCGCTACCTCTCTGGTCTCTCAGGAAGCCAGCCTTCTCTGCCCCTGGCTCCCACACAGAGCGGCTCAGCCAAGCAGGTCCCTTGGGGCCCCCTGGGCCCAGCTGGAGGAACAGGTTGTCTCTCCAGGCTCTGGGCCGCCCGCCCAGCCTGGCCTAACCCCAGCTTGCCTTCCTGCATCGAGCAGCTCCCCTCCTCTCCCTCCCAGCTCTCTGGAACTAGGCTGGAGGAAGCACCAGAGGCGTACAGGGCTGGGTAGCCAGAGGGGCGAGGTCCAGGGCGTTTGCAGGATCTCCAGATCTGAGGCAGGCCCTGTACAACTGCCTCCACTGGGGACTGGTTAAGAAGGAGAATTCCCCTGCATCTGTGCCCCCCTGCCTCCTGTGGGCTGCCCACCTCGCCAGGGCACAAGTCCAGGGAAACTCAGTCTTCCGGGAGAGAATTGGGGGCGATTTGGTACACAGGCCTCCTTGCCCACCTGCTCTGCTCACGGCAGGCATCATGAATTGATCTTAGCACTCTCCTCCGCTGTCACACCCCAATGGGCCCTCAGAACCTCCTTTGTTCATCTGGAGGTGGTGTGATAGATGACACCTGCCTGCCATTCCTGTCCCAGGACCCAGAGGGCTCTGTCATTCCCAAGTTGTATCTCTGCTCAACTTCTTGGCCGGTTATCTCCCCCAGGATTGGTCCTCAGGGAGAGGTTCAGAGCTGAGGACAGATTTCAGCAAAGGGTGAGAAGCCGGCAGGAAGATGCCATGAAGCCAGGCCTGAGCCCCTGGGCCCTGCTGAGTTTATAGGATCTCCCCAGGCCTGAAATCTAGGACCCATCATTGCTTCTCTGCCACAGGCAGTGTGGCATAGCAGTCCGGGTTAAGGCCATGGTCTGCAGCCCCCGTGCCTGGGTTCGAAGCTGCTATCTGCCACTTGCTAGCTGGAGCCTTTGACCAGGTGGCTTAACCTCTCGGCCTCTATTTTCCCGTCTGTGAAATGGGGATAATCAGTCAGTTCCTTGTAGGGTACTGTGAGAATAAATGAGTGAACATGCTTAGATTCATGTCAGCCATGGAGGAGTAAGAGAGCATTACCTCTTGGTGTTGCCCTTTGCACGCTCCGCCTGGTAAGTAGCTTTGCCTGAGCTGGGGCTTCTCAGCCAGCCAGTGCACAGTCACTGTTTGCACTGGCTCAGTGGGCTTCTGATCCTGACTCGGCTAAGTATTTGCTGGTGAACTCAGATAAGCCCATTGGTGTGTCTGTACCTCAGTTTCCCCTCTGTAAAATGGGTCTGGCAGCAGTCTCTGTATGAGCTTAACAGGAGGCTCATGGAGGCCATGGGGTCCTGAGCACAGTGCCTGTGCTGAGTACCACTCAGCAAACTGAGGCTGACGCTGCAGTTGTTATCTGGAGGGTCTGGGCTTATAACCCCCCACTGCCTGCCACAACGTACACACACAGGCACACACACACATCCATGCACTCACACACGAGAATGAGAATTCCCCTGCATCTGTGCTCCCCTGCCTCCTGTGGGCTGCCCACCTTGCCAGGACACAAGTCCAGGGGAAACTCAGTCTTCCAGTATATGTATGCACATACACGTGTGCGCGCACACACACACGCACACACATCACAGGTTACCTCCTTCAACGCTGTGTAGAGCACAAGCCAGCAAACTTTTCCTGCAAAGAGCCAGAGAGTAAATATTTTAGGCTTTGTGGGCCAGACAATCTCTTGCAAGGACTCAGTTCTGCCATAGACAATAACAGATGTGACCACGCTCCAGTAAAAGCATATTTACAAAGTCAGACAGTGGGGCCAGGCGTGGTGACTCACACCTGTAATTCCAGCACTCTGGAGGCCAAGGTGGGAGGATCTCTTGAGCCCAGTAGTTCAAGACCAGCCTGGGTACACATAACAAGACCTCATCTCTACAAAACCAAAACATAAATTAGCCAAGCGTGGTGCGGTGACACGTGCTTGTAGTCCCACCTACTTGGGAGGCTGAAGTGGGAAGATCCCTTGAACCCAAGAGTTCAAGACCAACCTGGGGCAACATAGCAAGACCCCATCTCTACAAAAGTAAAACAGATTAGCCAGGCATGGTGTGGTGGTGGGCGCCTGTATTCCCAGCTACTTGAGGGGCTGAGGTGGGAGAATCACTTGAGCCCAGAGGTCAAGGCTGCAGTGAGCCATGACAGCACCAATGCACTCCAGCCTGAGTGACAGAGGGAGACCCTGTCTCAAAAAAGTTAGGGGCAGACAGACCCCCTGAGAGACCGTTCGCCGCTTCCTGGCTTCGGGGCCTGTCCAGGGGCCTCGGCTTGCCGGACTTGGCTGAGTGCCTGTGGGGTAGTAGAGCCACAGGGTCCTGTTCTCGTCCTCAGGGGCAGCTGAGAGCCCCCAGCCCAGACCTCGAGACGGCTCCCCTGCTGAGCAGAACACCATGGGGTTACAGAGCAGCGCCCGGGCAGGCAGACGTGGGGGGCTTCCCAGAGGAGCCCAAGCTGTCACGGGCCGCCACGACTGTGGGTGCAGGAAGGCTGTTTGAGTAGGGTCAGCCAGGGCTCCCGAGGTCTGACTGCCCCGCCTCCTGCCCTCAGCAGAGAAGCCTGTGTTCTTCCCAGCCTTCGCAGCCGAGGCCCAGAAGCTGCCTGGGGACCCCCCTTGCTGGACTTCCGGCCTGCCCTTCCCTGTGCCCCCCCGTGAGGTGATCAAGGCCTCCCCGCATGCCCCGGACCCCTCAGCCTTCTCCTACGCTCCACCTGGTAAGTAGCTCTGCCCGAGCTTGGGCTTCTCCTTCAGCCGGGGCACAGTTACTGTTGGCACTGTTGGCACTGTTGGCACTGTTGGCACTGTTGGCACTGTTGGCACTGGCTCAGAGCTGCACACAGAAGCACCTTAAAGCCTCATGGGACCCGGCTGGAGGGACAGCCTGGTCAGTGGAGGGAAAGGGGGAGATCTTTTGAGAAAGCTGCCCCAGGATTGAGGTTGAAGCCACTGGCAAGAGGGAGCCACAGCAGGTGCTTGAGCTGGCGAGGGGCAGGCTTAGAGTGGGAGCTGTGTTTTCCATTGATGGCTTAGAGCTAGAGAATGGGCAGATGGTAGAAGAGCCTGGGGAGGGAACAGAGGTGCTGCCTTGGTTCACAGACTGTGAGGCTGCATTTCGGCCCTGTTCTAGGTCCTGCAGTCCTGCTGGGCCTTGCCAGCTATATAGCAGCACAGCCGAGGGCTGGTACAGACTGTGTTGGTAAATGCTGGTCCCGAGGGATGCGTGGGCCAAGGGAGCTAGAACAGGGAAAGTCATGCCAGGCAGACGGAACAGCATGTGCAAAAGCCCTGTGGCAGGAGAGAGCAGGCAAACTTGAGAAACTGAATCCGGCCACCACTGCCGAAGCTTGGTGCCCAGTGAGCTGGGGAGACCAGGGGCCAGGTCAGGCAAGCCCGAAGGCCGAGTCAGGGGCTAAGACTTTCTCCTGAGGGCAGTGGGGAGCCATCGAGGGCACACAGCAGGGGGCGGGTGTGCACCAGCAGACTTTTCCAAAAAGGTCCCTTTGGTTCGTGTAAGGGGAAGGGGCTACTGGGAGCTACAGTGGAAACGGGAAGACCAGTTAGGGGATCCAGGTGAGACTGGAGGGGGCTTGGATCAGGACCTGGGCGGTGGGGAGGTGGGAGGCTTCCCCAGGATAGTGGTGTCTGCATCTAGGACTCAGGTCACTAATGAGGACAGAGCCGGGCAGGGCAACAGAGGGGCATGCATGGATGGGCACTTCCTGGCCAGGACAGGGAAGAGGTGGAGTGCAGCCTGGGCTGTGTGTCCAGCAGGGACATGACTGCTCCTGGGCCCCACAATGGACAGACATGTGCTCCACAGGTCACCCGCTGCCCCTGGGCCTCCATGACACTGCCCGGCCCGTCCTGCCGCGCCCACCTACCATCTCCAACCCACCTCCCCTCATCTCCTCTGCCAAGCACCCCAGCGTCCTCGAGAGGCAAATAGGTGCCATCTCCCAGGTGAGTGGTAGCCCTTCCTTTCTTCCTTTCTTGGGGGCTTGGTCTTCTCCTCTGTAAAGTGGTGGCGATGGGACCAGTGAAGTCTGGGTGGGGGCCAGGCTCTTAGGGGTCTGGGTCATTTCCACTCAGGTATCTGGGGTCTGAGCTGGCTGGGTCCTGCCCCAGGTACTCAGGGCCTCGTCCCTGGGGGGGTCACTCTGTGTTGCAGTCAAGGGCACGGCTCGGGAACCAGGCTGTGTGGCCTCAGGCAAGTTACTTAACCTCCTGTTTCCCCCACTGCGAAATGGAAGGGCAAATGCGAGGGGCTCAGAGGGTATGGCCCCTTCACAGGGGAGGGGGCCGAGGCTTGGGAGCAGCAGTGACTTGTCTGCCATCACACAGCTGGACAGCAGCCCCGGCCTCTGACCCACATGTGGGCTTTGTGAACCGGAGCATTAGGCACTCTGGACTGTGGGGGAGGGACCAGGGTGCCCCTGTGACCCCACAACTCTGCACCTACAGGGAATGTCGGTCCAGCTCCACGTCCCGTACTCAGAGCATGCCAAGGCCCCGGTGGGCCCCGTCACCATGGGGCTGCCCCTGCCCATGGACCCCAAAAAGCTGGGTAAGGCTCCTGGCCCATCTATCTGGGTGGCTCAGGCTGGGCTCCGGCTGTCCTGTGGGTGGGGGTGGAGGTGAGGAAGGGGTATCTTGGCCCACGGTACTCCAGGTAGCAGCTGGGAGGTCCCCCCTCAGCAGCCCTGGCTGGAACATGGTGAGGAGGGGCAGCGCTTCCCAGCCCCTGGCTCAGGTTGGGTGGGGACAAGCCTCCCGGGACTCTGCCCCGGCCGCACGTGACTCGCTCCTCTTACTGGTCCTCAGCACCCTTCAGCGGAGTGAAGCAGGAGCAGCTGTCCCCACGGGGCCAGGCTGGGCCACCGGAGAGCCTGGGGGTGCCCACGGCCCAGGAGGCGTCCGTGCTGAGAGGTGAGGGCCCTTCTGCCCTGGACCCCCAGCATCTGCCCCTGTTCCCGGGATGCCCAAGGGGCCCTTTATTCAAAACCTGCTGGGGAGCATCATCTCCCAGAGGGTCTGGGGACCCCTCTTCACAGCCGTCTCCCTCACCATTTAGGGGTAGGGGGACTCCCTCTGCGTTGAAACAAGCACAACTTGTGGGTCGCTCAGTCAGGGTGGCTCTCAGGACCGGGGCCTGAGGAAGGAAGGGCCACAGACACCCCCTCAGCCCCGCGTCTTGTGTCTTCCAGGGACAGCTCTGGGCTCAGTTCCGGGCGGAAGCATCACCAAAGGCATTCCCAGCACACGGGTGCCCTCGGACAGCGCCATCACATACCGCGGCTCCATCACCCACGTAGGTGTCCTGGGGTGTGGCATGAAGGATGGGTTGGGACCGGCGTGGGACCAGCCCATCTTATAACCCCTCATTGTCACCAAACCATTAGCCTCAGCCGATGGGGTGATGACTGGGGGACAGCAGTTCACTCCATGAACTTTCATCTTGTCTGCATGGAGTCAGGCACTGGGGTTGCCAAGCACAGCTCAAAACTCTGCTTTCAGGGAGCTGCCATGTAGTGGAAGGAAACAGACCAGGGTAAATAAGTAGGCTGGTGAAAACTGAGCAGGCAGAGGCAGAATGTTAGTGCCCCGTGGCTGAGAATGCCTGGCCAGGGACATTGCTTAGACAGGTGAGGAAGGTGACATGTCAGCTGTGGCCAGAAGACATTGAGGGTGCAAGCCATGCCGGAATCTCAGGGAACAACATTCTAGGCTCAGGGAACAGCATGTGCAAAGACAGAGCGTGAGAGGGTTCCTGAATCGTGCCAGAAGTGGTGGCCCAGCCTTGCAGCTGGTGAGCTGTGGACCCAGGGTTTTGTGCCACGAGTGTCTGGCTCTAGAACACAGCGACAGAGTGTGGGCTCACACACGCGCACACACGCACACGTTCTACCAGTGGAGCTGCGGGCGACAGGGTGGTCCACAGGGAGGTGCTTTTGACTCAGGCAGCGTCAAATCCCCACTACAGAGGAGCTGTTTACACTTCGTCCTTCCCTGAAATCTGTAGGTTTGAAAACTCGGAGCTTTCAAAGGCAACTGTGCTGAGTGGGAAGGGCAAGTGCTTTGGGCAAAAGTCAGGCTGAGGGCCCTCAGCTGCCAGCTCCGTCACCCACTCAGGCAGCGGCCTGCCCTGACTCAGTTTCCCCTTTGCTAACTATTCCTGGGGGAGTCATTCTCCTAAAGTCATAGGAACCTTTGAGGTTCCCAGGCGTCCACCTGCTCTGGGTTCCTGGGTGGCCGTGACCCGCACCCTTCCTCGAACCCTCCCAGTTACACACACGTCTTTGATTGCTTTTGGCAGACAGCCAGCTGCCAAAACGTGTGAGATAGGCGAGGGTCAAACTTCCCTGCAGTCTGGCTACCAGATAGTGAGGAAGTCAGCCTGTGGCCTGCACACATAGAGCTGTTTTATTAACCAAGTGGGTGCCCCAGGCAGGGACCATGTGGTTCCACAGCTGGCGAAGGAGGCTCGAGGAAGTCACAGCTCCCTGATCCTCCAGGGACTTCCTGCCCATCGTGGGAGTAGAGTTCATTGGGGCCAAGAGCAAGAGGCTACAGGCTCATCTCCCAGAAGCCGACGTTATGCAAACAGAAGCTTCCCTGTTAATGGGAGTTTGTGCCATGTATTCTCCCAAGAGCAGGGGCCACCGGCTGGATTTCTGTTCTCTGTCCATGTCCCTGAAGATGGCACCTCTAAAATACTATAGCTCAGAAACATCAAGCTGGGCACGGTGGCTCATGCCTGTCAGCCCAGCATTTGGGGAGGCCAAGGTGGGAGGATAGCTTGAGCCCAGGAGTTTGAGACCAGCCTGGACAAAAAGAGGCCTGTCTCTACAGCAGATTTAAAAATTGGCTGGGCATGGTGGCACATCCCTGCAGTCTCAGCTGCTCGGGACTGGGAGGCAGGAGGATCACTCGAGCCCAGGATTTTGAGGCTGCAGTGAGCTATGACGGTGCTCTAGACTCCACCCTGGGCAATGCAGCAAGATCCCTTCTCAAAAAAAAAAAAAAGAATCAGATGCCTCAGTTTCACCATGGAGAGCCTCCCCCCACGCTTTTAAATCATTTATTGTGGTATTCAGTAAGCCACTGATTTCTGCAGTACAAACCCAGTCTGACATGGACCATCTGATATTAGGGCTGGAGACAGAAAGGGAGGCACTTATATCAGCTGCCTCTGGGGGGGGCTTTTCCCGCCAGGATGCTGCAGGCTTCCCCTTGTGCTTTCCTGATGGGAGCGGTGGCTGCCCGGAGCTGTCACCTGACTTAGCACCTATTGTGCCATACTTTGGTGCACAGGTGACTTACAGCACTGCAGGGAGATGCTGCTCAGAGTATTTGCTTTGAGAAGCTTGGGGGTAGCTCACTGGAATTCAGGGCATCTTGCTGTTGCCCTCCACAAAGACCAGGATCTGTGATGAGCACCCCGGGGTACCAGGTGCTGCCCTCTGCCAGGGGATGTCCCCAGCTGAGCAAGTCCAGCCAGAGACTCAGAGCTCACTGGTCCAGGTCTTGGGACATAGTAGGGCCCCTACCGTTGAATCTGCTCCTGGAATCCTAGAAAGAGAAGAGGGATACTGAGATTTGGGGATCCCTTGTCTGTGCCAGCTGCCTTTGAGAATCATCAATGCAGAATGTCTCCATTTTGTGGATGTGCAAACTGAGGCTCAGAAAGGAGGTCCCACGGTAACTTGGTAGTAAAGTTGCTGTTTGACACCCAACATTCTGACTCCAAAGTCGTATTCTAACTCTGATGCTTATGTTCTTGAAAGTCACCCGCGGCAGGATGCTGCCCCATGTGGCCTCTGCTCTCTGCTTGAACACGTCCTCTGACGGGGACCTCGTTTCCTATATGGTAGTGGTTCTCAGTCGGGGGAAATTGTGCCTCCAACTGTCTGGGGACATTTGCAATTGTCCTAACTTGGTGGGGGACACACTGGGGAGGTGTGTACTACTGGCATCTAGTGCTTTGAAGCCAGGGACGCTGTCATATAGCCCGCAGTGCACAGGGCAGCCCTGCAACAAAGAAGGGCCCAGCTCCAGCTGGCAGGAGGGCCGAGGTGGAAAACCTGGGTTAGAACTAAAATTTCTGGTGTCCTGCCCTGACGTGAGTCCTTGTCCTGGTTTTAGGAAACCAAAGTGCATGACGTGGTCATGGGCACAGCCCAGGAGCAGAAACCCCAGCATCCCCACCAGTTACCGTTTTCAGTAACTGAATGTCAAGGCTCTGAGAAGTAAAACCCATGCAGTGGTGGGGACACAGACTCCAGGACCAAAATGCCTGGGTTCAAGTCCCCGCCTGCCCCTCATTAGCCAGGTGACCCCAGGTAAAGTCACCGTGCCTCCCTGTGCCTCGGTTTCCCCATCTGAAACAGGCGTAATCAATAGGGTTGCCTTGGGGTTGTTTCAAGGATTAAATGAGCGAATCCATAGAGAGCACCCAGAAGAGTGTCCCGTGCTCATGGGAAGCGGGAAGCACTGGACACGGGATCCTCATTCTTCAGCTTCCTCACAGGGTTTGTTCCGTGCAAGCACTTACCCTTTTGAGACAGTGTGTGTGTGGACACACGTGTGCATCGGTGGGCACATGGGCTTGTAAGCACGTCTGTGTCTGCATTTGAGTTGAGAGGGATCCTGGGCTGCAGCCTCCTGGGCGCTCACCCCTCTGCACCTGCAGGGCACACCAGCTGATGTCCTGTACAAGGGCACCATCACCAGGATCATCGGCGAGGACAGCCCGAGTCGCCTGGACCGCAGCCGGGAGGACAGCCTGCCCAAGGGCCACGTCATCTACGAAGGCAAGAAGGGCCACGTCTTGTCCTATGAGGGTGAGTCGCGGGAGGAGAGGAGGCCCAGGACCAGGGGAGGAATGTGCTTGGCCCACTGAAGTAGCTTCACAGGGAGGCAGGGCTGGGTTGACATCAGAAAGCACAGTCTCATAGGTATGCAAGCCAGCAGCAGGGAAGCATCGGCCTTAGCTGCATCCCACCTCCGCCTAGTTCTTTACAATTTAGGAAGCAAACTTGTGGCCAACCTTTTTAGAAGCATAGGAGGGAAACTGAGGCCCAGAGCAGAAGCCCAAGCTCACGCCGCCAGACCTCCAGCACGGCACTGACAAACCGTGCAGTCTCTCACTGGCCGTGAAAGAGGCCATGGCCAGAGTGCGCCTCACCCTGCCGTGCCCCAGGCGCTTGCTGGGGAGCCCCCATCCTCTCCCTCTCTAGGCTCTGGGTTCCAGAACCAGGAGACCCTGCCAGGAAGGAGTTAAGGGAGTCGAGTGCCGGGAAAGAGAATTGCCTGGCAGCCTAGGGCACCCAGGGGTGTGGAGATGAAAGCTGCTAATGGGCGCCTCTCTCAGCACTGCAGCTGCAAGGCCCGGAACTGCCTCTCCTCCATCCGCTTCCGCCTGTGCCCGCGGCCCCCTCCCCAGGCCTGGGAAGTGGAGGTGGCACTGTGTGGCTTAGGAACATATGCGCTCCCTGCTGCCATAGAGAGAGCCTTGGAGACAGACCTGCAGCTGTGTCTTGGGTGCCAGCTCATGCCCTGGTGCCCCTGGACTGAGTGTCCTGGGGGTGGCGGGAAGCCTGGGAAGGGCTGGTGGCGGGGTTAGTCAAGGGCTTGTCTTGAGAGGTCACTGGGTGGAATCCCACCTTGGGACCCCCGACCAGTGCCTAAGCCTTTATAGGCCTTGTGTGTATCGTCTTCATCATGGGTTTCAGTCGGGGCCCTTAAACTCTCGTCTGCTCCCTGGGCCAGGTAGGCAGTGCGGGCAGCGGCAGGTGTGAGACTATAGGGAGTGCGGAGGACTCTGGTGCCTGCCCACGCCGTCCACTCCCCCACGGCCACCGGTCAGCCAGGCTTCCCATCTCTCCGTTTTTATCTGCAATCCCCCAATGTTTAAACATCGGCGGTTAATTTGGAGTGTTTTCTGAACAGCAACCCAGTACCCTCCTGTTGGCAACCACTGGAGTAGCTCATGGGCTGCGGGCCACACCAAGCAGTGGTTGAAAGCCTGAGAGCCTGTCAGCTGGTCATTCCCTCTGAGGGGTGGGGCGGGGGCTCATTTCTGATAGCTCTGGACTCAGCTGCCCTGGAGGGAGAGCCCTGGCTGATGGGCAAAGCCAAGCCTTTACCTTTGGGGGCCACCTCCATCTGTTCAACCCTCTGCCTGTCCGGGGAGTGGTGACCGGGCCAATCTGGGCTCCTTTGACCTGGCGAGGCCACTCCTGCCACGGAGACTCCCTCACCACTCCCTGCAACACACACCTTTCCATGCGCATGCGGACTCGCGGTCGGACACTCACATGCACATCGACACAGGCTTCTGGGTGTGACGTGTACACATGCAAAGCCGTGTACTGCCTGGCACCCTGGTACATGTGTGTACATGGACCCACTTAGTTCTCAGCAGCCAGGCGTGTGCCCACATCCACTCCTGCACACACAGACCCGTGCCCGTGCACACGCGTTCTCCTGCCTGCCCCGCACATCCATTCTGCTGATGCGTCAGTGCACATGTGTGCTCCTGCCCGCCAGCATACCAACTTTGCTGATGCGTCTCTGCACACGCGTGCTCCTGCCTGCCCTCACATCCACTCTGTTGATGTGTCTCTGCACACGCGTGCTCCTGCCTGCCCACACATCCACTCTGCTGATGTGTCAGTGCACACGCGTGCCCCTGCCTGCCCTCACATCCACTCTGCTGATGCGTCAGTGCACACGTGTGCCCCTGCCTGCCCCCACGTCCACTCTGCTGATGTGTCAGTGCACACACGTGCTCCTGCCTGCCCTCACATCTACTCTGCTGATGCGTCTCTGCACACGCGTGCTCCTGCCTGCCCTCACATCTACTCTGCTGATGCGTCTCTGCACACGCGTGCTCCTGCCTGCCCTCACATCCACTCTGCTGATGCGTCAGTGCACACGCGTGCTCCTGCCTGCCCCTACATGCACTCTGCTGATGCGTCTTTGCTCACGTGCATGTGTGTGCACATGTTCACGCCCCATGTCGGCGCCCGTGTGTGTGACCACAGACTCGCATGCTCATGTGTGGTCACAGGCAAACCCTTGCTTGCAGACCAGCACCCTGGAGGGCTGGGGTACGGAGCGCAGGCAGCGTGCCTTGCTTCTCCCACTGTGTAACCCCCTGGAAAAGCTCCTGGGTCCTGCTGGCAGGCCCGGGGGCTGCAGGCTGCGGGGTCCCTCTGGAGGCCTCAGCTGTGAGGCCTTGTGACAGGCCAGCATAGAAGCACTGCTGGCTCTTGCCCACCGACTCTGCCTGTCCTGCCTGTCCACCGCGGTCCTGGGCCCATGCACACGGTCACCCCGTGCCCAGCTCCTCACCAAGTGCTTTGTGTGGTTTCCAGGTGGCATGTCTGTGACCCAGTGCTCTAAGGAGGATGGCAGAAGCAGCTCAGGACCCCCCCACGAGACGGCTGCCCCCAAGCGCACCTACGACATGATGGAAGGCCGTGTGGGCAGAGCCATCTCCTCGGCCGGCATCGAAGGTGATAGCAGGGAAGACACTTCATCTCGGCACCCCCTGCAGGGCAGTGGGGGGGAATGGCTGACCCCATTTTACAGATGGGGAAACCGAGGCTGGGCTTTCTGAGGCTCCATCTGGAGGCAGCGCAGGGACCTTCACGTGCTGGGTCTTACTCCACCATCATCGCGGGGACGACCACTGGTGGCTGTAGACACCTCTGTCACTGCCCAGTGCCGGCTCAGGGACCCATGGAATGATGGCCTTGCCCCCTCCCACCCAGGTCTCATGGGCCGTGCCATCCCACCTGAGCGACACAGCCCCCACCACCTCAAAGAGCAGCACCACATCCGCGGGTCAATCACACAAGGTACCGCCCTGTCCCCTGCTCCCTGGGTGCCCCAACGGGTGTACAGTCAAGCAGAGCACAGGAGGGGAGAGACACAGCCAGAGTGTGGTGGGAACTCAGGACAGGAATGCAGAAAGGCCTGTAGTACATGCGTACGTGATCAGTACGTGAGCAGTACGTGAGCTACGGAGCAAGGGTGTCTCTTACTTACTTGTAAACAAAAATGAAAAGCAAAAGACCGCCAGTCACCCCTCTGCTTTTAGGTGTTACATAGCAACTGCCCTGTGCTTGGCACTAACCCGGGTGCCCCCTGCATATCGTTTTACAGAACATCCTGGTGAGGCACATGCGATTGGGAGAGGCTTGGGGAGCTCTGAGAACTCTTTCAGGTTCTCGTGGCTGGTCCGTGGCACAGCCAGCTACTGTGAACTTGGCAGCTTTGTGGTCTTTATTTTTTATCTTTCTTTCGTTGTTGTTGTTGGCGTCTGAGACAGGGTCTCATTCTTGCCCAGGCTGGAGTGCAGTGGCACGATCTCAGCTCATTGTAGCCTCCGCCTTTCAGGCTTAAACAATCCTCCCACTTTAGCCTCCCGAGTAGCTGGGACCACAGATGCACACTGCCACATCCAGCTAATTTTGGTATTTTTGTAGAGATGGGGTTTCGCCCTGCTGCCCAGGCTGGTCTCAAACTCCTGAGCTCAAGCTATCTGCCTGCCACAGCCCCCTCAAAGTGTTGGGATTACAAGCGTGAGCTACTGCACCCAGCCTGTGGTTTTAGCTTCATGATTTCATAGTGTTCACGACTTACTGAGGTGGTTCAGTTAATATTCTCGTTTTATGTATGAAGAAGCTGAGGCCCAGAGAGATCAGATTCCCTGATCAAGGTCACACAGCAAGTGGGGAGTCGAACTCAGGCAGTCTAGCTCCAGAACCCACTGGTGCAGAAGCTCTTGGTGGGTCTGGGCGGGGCAGGGCGTGAGGGTCAGTGCTGTCCGCCCGGCAGGGATCCCTCGGTCCTATGTGGAAGCACAGGAGGACTACCTGCGTCGGGAGGCCAAGCTCCTAAAGCGGGAGGGCACACCTCCACCCCCACCGCCCCCGCGGGACCTGACCGAGGCCTACAAGACGCAGGCCCTGGGCCCCCTGAAGCTGAAGCCGGCCCATGAGGGCCTGGTGGCCACGGTGAAGGAGGCGGGCCGCTCCATCCATGAGATTCCGCGCGAGGAGCTGCGGCACACGCCCGAGCTGCCCCTGGCCCCGCGGCCACTCAAGGAGGGCTCCATCACACAGGTACGGCTGGGGCCAGGCAGGCAGGCCCAGTTCTAGGAGGGGCGGCAGTGGCTATGGGACACTGCCCTGGGCCTCTCCACATAAGGAAACCGAGGCTGAGAGCCCTCGCCTGCCTTACAGTCAACCAACTGCTCGTCCCTGGGCCTCGGCTGTGCAAGTTCCGGGGCTGTGCAGGGAGCATCAGGCTCCTGACCTCATTCCACTGAACTCCCATTGTTCCCATTCAGGGAGAGAAACTGAGGCCCAGAGAAGCCAGGCAGGCTTCCAAGGCCACAGGACTCAACACAGTCACGAGTAACTGAATAACTGCCTCCGCTGAATCTTTGGCGCGGCTTGAGGATGTTGCATGCGTTCATTGTTTCACCCCCTAGCAACGCTCTGAGGTCGTTTTCTTAATGACTTTATTTTATTGCTGAGTAAATGGAGGTTCAGAGAGGTTCAACGACTCACCCAGAGTCGTGCAGCAAATGCAGCTGTGAAACCCAAATCCAGATATTCCTACAGCTGCAGCATCCACTGCACCCCCCAGCAGGTTGCACCATAAGAGGCCCCAGTCCCACCAGGCAGCCCCAGCGCAGTAGGGGAAGTTCCGTGCCGATGGTACGAGGAGCTGCTCGGTGGAAAGCCCCTGAAGGCCACCGTCCTTCCATGTAGGCAGAGGTGGCCTCCTGTGAAGGGGAAGAAGAGTGGGAGCCACTCTGGGACTGTGGGGCTGTGGGGCTGTGGGGCTGTGAGGCGGAAGGATTGGGGTGGGTGTCCCGGGAGGGGTTCCAGCTTGCAGGAAGGTTTTGAAGCCGGGGAGAAGGTGGAAGCAGTAAGATCCCTGAATGCCAGGGGAAGGGTTTGGCTCTCAGCCCCTAGGCAATTATGGAGTCCTTGGCAAGCATCCACCGCATTACCAAGACGGGGGCCAGATTCTAGAATATTCTTTTGAAAAACAAGGGCAGTTCCCCTTTTTATGAAAGTAATGAAGACATCCCTAAATAGAGTTTTGTTGCTTGCAAAGCCCTAAGGCCCCACCACATCAGTGTCTCCCAAGCCTGCTGAACAGGGGCAGGGGACCTGGTGGCCTGGCTACGAAGGTCCCAGTCTGGACTGTAACCCCCGCCATTTCCTCAGCCACCCTTTCGGTCCTGAGAGCAAACACCTCAGCCCTGACCTCAGTGTCCCCGGGGCTGAAAGCCTCAGGGCGGGTGGCATTGAGTCTGGGTGCTGACTTTCTCAGCTCGGCATTGGGTGGGCCACGGAGGGTCTCAGGCTGAACAGAGGAAAGTTTTTACCCACATGCGGGTGTTGGGCATCTTTCTGGCGAACTCCAGGGACCATGAGAGGGCCTACCACTCGCGGCAGGGAGAGCGGACTGCCGAACTTTTTACCCCTTTCAGCAGTCCTCCCAGGGAGCTTGGGGACCAGGGTCAGGCCCGGGGTGGGCAGGACAGTAAGTAACAAGTGTGCCCGTCTCAGGGTTAGCAAAGCCCTCCGTCTCCCTGCCTCTGGAGGCATAAGATGTCACTTCCATCTTATAGATGACAAACTGAGGCTCAGAAGGGGGATGCAGCTGGTCTGGGCTATGGCTGTGGCCAAGGCTGGAGCTCACACCCCCTCTGCCCCAGGGCACCCCGCTCAAGTACGACACCGGCACGTCCACCACTGGCTCCAAAAAGCACGACGTACGCTCCCTCATCGGCAGCCCCGGCCGGACGTTCCCACCTGTGCACCCGCTGGACGTGATGGCTGACGCCCGGGCACTGGAACGCGCCTGCTACGAGGAGAGCCTGAAGAGCCGGCCGGGGACCGCCGGCAGCTCGGGGGGCTCCATTGCTCGTGGTGCCCCGGTCATTGTGCCTGAGCTGGGCAAGCCGCGGCAGAGCCCCCTGACCTATGAGGACCATGGGGCACCCTTCGCTGGCCACCTTCCGCGAGGCTCGCCTGTGACCACGCGGGAGCCCACGCCGCGCCTGCAAGAGGGTGAGTGAGTGGGGTGTACGTGGGCCTGAGTGGGGTGGGCGCCTGTCTGGGAAAGCTGTGCCTCCCCATCCACTATTAGCTTAGTTCGCACCCGGGTCCACCACATCCAAACCACCTGCAGTCCTGTGGGCTCTGCTTCCAATTCCAAACCCTGTCCAATTTCTTGCCACCTCCCAGACCACCATGGTGTCTCACCTACTTTCCCCCACGCCCCTCCCTCTTCCTGCTGTAATCCACTCTGCAAACAGCTGCCCGAATACTTTTTAAAAATGCAAATCAAATTATTCCACTTCCCTGCTTTCATCCTTCTAGCAACTTCACACATTTTGCTCTGGCCTTGGGGCGCCTGCATGTTGGGACCCTGCCTGCCTCTTATTCAACCAGATTCCTTCGTCCTCCCCAGCCCCAGCCCCAGGCCCCCTTTCTCTTTGTTCCCTGGCCATGCTCAGCTGGGTCAATTCCGTCTTCGCTGGGGACCTTTGCATGGCTCCTCCTCTTTGCCTGCCATGTCCCTGCCTTCCAGATCTTTACAGAGTGTGTTTCTTCCCATCCCTCGGGTCTTTGTTTACATGTTACATCCTTGCAGAGGCTTCTTCTAACCAAACTCCCTCTCCCCACTTCATATCACATGCTGTGACGTTTTAAAATTGTCTTCCGGCCAGGCATGGTGGCGTACGCCTGTAATCCCAGCACTTTGGGAGGCCAAGGCGGGCAGATCACCTGAGGTCAGGAGTTCAAGACCAGCCTGGTCAACATGGTGACACCCTCTCTACTAAAAATACAAAAAAACAGCCGGGTGTGGTGGTGTGCACCTGTAATCCCAGCTACTCGGGAGGCTGAGGCGGGAGAAGCGCTTGAGCCTGGGTGGCAGAGGTTACAGTGAGCAGGGATCGTGCCACTGCACTCCAGCCTGGGCAACAAGAGTGAAACTCCATCTCAAAAAAAAAAAAGAAAGAAAATTTTCTTCCGCGGGTGTTTCACTCTGTAATTCTCATTTGTTTGCTAGTTTATCACCTGTCTCTCCCATTGAATGTCAGTTCGTGGGGGCTGGGATTGCTGTTTGCTTTGTTCACTGCGGTATCCCCAGTTCTCACAACAATGCTTGCCACATTGTAGAGGCTGCATGAATTTTTTTTATTGATTGAGTGAATGGATGAAAGAATGAATTTTTTAAAAACTGTAACACAAAAGCAAATGACTCAAAGCAAAAAAGTGAACTAAGGCAATGAAGAAATGGAGTGAATGAAGAGGCCTGGTCCTTGACGACTCCCCGTAGACGCCAGCCCCAGAGGCCCTGCATGGGGAGCTGGTGCAGAGGCCCGATGCATCCACCTTGCCCATCCACAGGCAGCCTGTCTTCCAGCAAGGCATCCCAGGACCGAAAGCTGACGTCGACGCCTCGTGAGATCGCCAAGTCCCCGCACAGCACTGTGCCCGAGCACCACCCACACCCCATCTCGCCCTATGAGCACCTACTTCGGGGCGTGAGTGGCGTGGACCTGTATCGCAGCCACATCCCCCTGGCCTTCGACCCCACCTCCATACCCCGCGGCATCCCTCTGGACGCAGGTGATTGCCCCGGGGCTCCCAGAACCCTGCGGTGGTGCTGCACAGGGCCAAGGACCTCATCAGTGTTCCCTCAGGGACTCTTTAGGCATCAACTGTCAGGTTCCCCTGGATGGGGAAACTGAGGCCTCGAGATTGGAAGACCCAACAGTGTCATCATGACCAGCTTAGGTTGGAGCAGAATTTCTCTTAGTAGTTTGCAGGACATGTGGGGTTAAACATTTCAGTGGTTTTCTTTTCCTGCAGGACTTATCAGTGCCTTTAGCAATGCAGTGGTATCGAATGGAGACTTGTGTATATGCGTTTTCCCTTTAGTGTGTTCATCTGCATTGGGATGTCCTATGTTTGGGACAACTTCCGTGCAAAAAGCATCCTTCATAGAAGTCACCCCCTCGTGTCCTGGGGCCATGTTTTCCTGCCGTCCGGTGCTCAGTTCTGGCTTATGCTTTGGGCAGCCGCACATGTAGGTGGGAGAAGCTATCCAGGTGCAGAAGTAGGGGGCATCCAGACAGGTGGAGCAACACCATCAGGCCTAGGTGTGGCTGGCCTCACATGAGCTCCCCTCTGCCCCGCAGCTGCTGCCTACTACTTGCCCCGGCACCTGGCCCCCAACCCCACCTACCCGCACCTGTACCCACCCTACCTCATCCGCGGCTACCCCGACACGGCGGCGCTGGAGAACCGGCAGACCATCATCAATGACTACATCACCTCACAGCAGATGCACCACAACGCAGCCACCGCCATGGCCCAGCGAGCCGACATGCTGAGGGGCCTCTCGCCCCGCGAGTCCTCGCTGGCACTCAACTACGCTGCCGGCCCCCGAGGTGCGTGGGCAGGCAGACCACCTCCACTGGGTTTGGCCTTATTCCCAAAGGACATGCGTGTACCCTGTGGCCTTGCAGAGGCAGCTAGACCTGGTCACCTTGTGGGTCACCTTGTGTGAACAGACCTGAGTGGGTGGCCTGGGGTTGTGCATGCTGTGGGTGCTGGTTGGCATCTGGTAGGTGAGTGCCGGCGTGTGCCTCCTGGCTGCATCCTCAGTGGGTGTGCGTGCATCTGTGTATACTCTTAGGATACAGGGGCCTCAGGAGCTTAAAGAAAGATCAAAATGTGGCTGGGCACAGTGGCTCGTGCCTGTAATCCCAGCACTTGGGGAGGCCGAGGCGGGTGGATAACAAGATCAGGAGTTTGAGACCAGCCTGACCAACATGGTGAAACCCCGTCTCTACTAAAAATACAAAAATTAACCAGGCATGGTGATGCGCACCTGTAGTCCCAGCTACTCAGGAGGCTGAGGCAAGAGAATCACCTGAACCCCGGAGGCGGTAGTTGCAGTGAGCCGAGATTGTGCCACTGCACTCCAGCCTGGGGGACAGGGCGAGACTCTGTCTCAAAAAAAAAAAGAAAAAAGATGAAAATGTGAGGTGAGGCTGTTTGGAGTTTGTTCCTTTGCCTCGTAAACAGCCCACAGCTGCTTTGCATGCACGTGTTCCAGGGCTGTCCTCAGAAATGCTTCTGGAATAACCAAGTTCTAGTTGGGGTTCAGCTGGAAAAGCCGAAGTCACACTAGGTATTTTGAACAGCGTGGGTTGAATACAGGGAATGGATTGTGTAGGTGTGAGAGGCTGAAGGGGCACGGAGGGCCTGAGATGGGAACCAGTGAGGGCAGCTGCAGGAGATGCCGCGGCTCAGGCTTGGGAGCAGAAGAGGAGGTGGGACCGAGAGAACCTGAGCATTCAGGAAAGGGTTCTATGGCTGGTGCTGGGAGCTGAGGAGGGAGTGCCCGCCACCAGCTCTGCTGGCTCCAGGAGTGTGTGCCATGCTCTCCAGGAGGGTGATCTGGCCGGTGGGCAGCCTGGCCTCTCTTCTCCCTGTGGCTACAGCCCTGGCCCAACACCTCCCGCAGGCATCATCGACTTGTCCCAAGTGCCACACCTGCCCGTGCTGGTGCCCCCGACGCCAGGCACCCCAGCCACCGCCATGGACCGCCTTGCCTACCTCCCCACCGCACCCCAGCCCTTCAGCAGCCGCCACAGCAGCTCCCCACTCTCCCCAGGTAGCGCCACCGCCCAGTCCGGGGTGGGGACCCCGGCATCCATAGGAGGTGGCTGGGGATGGGCGGCAGGCCCTGCTCTCTCTGCCCCAGCCTAGAAGACAAAGCCAGGCTCTTCTTGGGCCCTGGGGCTGAGTCTCTGGCCTTTGGGTTTCCTAGGAGGCCCCACGCACTTGACAAAACCAACCACCACGTCCTCGTCCGAGCGGGAGCGAGACCGGGATCGGGAGCGTGACCGGGATCGGGAGCGGGAAAAGTCCATCCTCACATCCTCCACAACGGTGGAGCATGCGCCCATCTGGAGGCCCGGTAGGGCATCAGAGCCCCCCACCGCCCCCGCCCCGGGACTCCCTGTGGGCCGCAGGAGGCCTCCCCCTGCTGATGCCACTGCCTGTCACCAGGTACAGAGCAGAGCAGCGGCAGCAGTGGCAGCAGCGGCGGGGGTGGGGGCAGCAGCAGCCGCCCCGCATCCCACTCCCATGCCCACCAGCACTCGCCCATCTCCCCCCGGACCCAGGACGCTCTCCAGCAGAGGCCCAGTGTGCTGCACAACACAGGCATGAAGGGCATCATCACCGCTGTAGAGCCCAGCACGCCCACGGTCCTGAGGTGGGCCAGGTTGGCACGGGGGAGGGGAGGGAACGGGTGGGTGGATGGGTGGTCAGTAGGAGGATGAGAGGATGCTTGGTGGGACGTACATGGGAGGTGGGTGGGTGGGCAGATGTGTGGGGGTAGAAGAATAGAGTAGTGTGAGTAGTAGATGGATGGGTGGGTGGTTGGGTTAGGCAGGTGGGTGGGAGGATAGATGGCTCGGTTAGCCAGGTGGATAGATGAATGGGTGGGTGGGTGGGTTAGGTGGGTAAGGTGGGTGGGTGGGAGGATAGATGGCTGGGTTGGCTGGGTGGATGGGTGGATGGTCAGGTTAGGTAGGTAGGTGGGTGGGTGGCAGGATAGATGGCCGGGTTAGCCAGATAGATGGATGGATGGGTGGGTGGTTGGGTTAGGTGGGTAGGTGGGTCAGTGGGAGGATAGATGGTTAGGTTAGCTGGGTGGGTGGATGGATGGGTGGGTGGTTGGATTAGGGAGGTAGGTGGGTGAGTGAGAGAGTAGATGGCTGGGTTAGCTGGGTGGGTGGATGGATGGGTGGGTGGTTGGATTAGGGAGGTAGGTGGGTGAGTGAGAGTATAGATGGCTGGGTTAGCTGGGTGGGTGGATGGATGGGTGGGTGGTAGGGTGAGATGGATGATGGAATGGATGGTTGGATGAGTAATTGGGGGCATGAGTGGATGGAGGCTCAGGTGGATGGACGATGGGTTGGGTGGTGGGATGAGTAGGTGGGGAGGTTATTTGGTTTGAGAATAGAATCTGTGGAGAGGGAGAGACTGAATGGGGGCTGTGAGGAAAGGCTTTCCTGGTCCCCCACATTTAGCAAGGCCAGCAAGGAAAAGAGGTGTCCCTCTTGCCTGGACAAAGTCCCAAGTTTCTCTGAGATGGGAGAGGCCCCTGAGTGCCCTTTGGTGACATATACTCCAGAGACTGTGGTCAGAGCTGTTTCACCAGTGGAGTGGAGTCGCTCCTTAACACCCTTCCCTGCCCGGGACTTTTTTTTGTTTGTTTGTTTTTGTTTTTGAGATGGAGTTGTACTCTGTCGCCCAGGCTGGAGTGCAGTGGTATGATCTCTGCTCACTGCAACCTCCGCCTTCCAAGTTCAAGCGATTGTCCTGCCTCAGCCTCCCAGGTAGCTGGGATTACAGGCACATGCCACCATGCCCAGCTAATTTTTTTTTTTGAGACGGAGTCTCGCTCTGTTGCCCAGGCTGGAGTGCAGTAGCCGGATCTCAGCTCACTGCAAGCTCCACCTCCCGGGTTTACGCCACTCTCCTGCCTCAGCCTCCTCAGTAGCTGGGACTACAGGTGCCCGCCACCTCGCCTGGCTAGTTTTTTATATTTTTTAGTAGAAACGCAGTTTCACCATGTTGGCCAGGCTGGTCTCAAACTCCTGACCTCAAGTGATCTGCCTGCCTCAGCCTCCCAGAGTGCCGGGATTACAGGCATGACCCACTGCACCCAGCCTCCAGGACCTATTTAGAGGCAACTTACTCCTCCAAAATGAATTTTCATTCAAAAAGTACCCATGCCCCAACTTCCGCTTGAGTGGCTGAAGTCATACCCTCCCCTAATCATGATTCCAATGAAAATGAAAAATGGTATCATTTCCCAAAAGCAGTGGTGACTTTGTCACCCCCGACTCAGAGACCCAGCAGGTGCATGAAGCACTAACCCCCAGCTGTGGAGAGCAGGGTTCCGCACACAGGCTCTGTGGGATGCACCTGCCCACTGCCCGCTCATGAATGAGGCCCTGGGAGTTAGAGTTAGCGAGAGATGGGGGCGCCCCCCCCATGGAAACACAGGGCTCCAGGAAGGCCGAGTGGGTGGAGCAGCCAGCTCCTGTTGCAGCCTCAGCCCTGTGCAGGGGCAGCTGTGCCCCAGCTTCTCACTCACAGAGCTGGGAACAGCAACGTTCCCTGTTCTCAGCATCCACCCTGGCCGCCCCCCGAGGTCCTTCCTCTTGCTCTCCTGCTCCTCACGTGGCTTTTTTAGCTCCTCCGGTATCCTGAGCAGGCCCAGCTCCCTCGTGTGCCTCCTCCCTGGAGACCTCCTAGCCCTGCCTCAGCTTCCTTGCCCTTCTTTCCTGGCACCTCACTGACTGCCTCCACACAGTTACCAGGCTCTGTAGGGCTTGGGATGTCTGTTAACGTGTTCATAGTCTGTTTTCTGAATTAGATGGTAAATGCTTGCATCCATTTTATGACCGCTGTATTCACAGTGTCTAGAACAGTGCCTGGCACCTAGTAGCTGCTTAATCAGAAGTTTTGGAAAGATGCAAGGAATGAATGGACGAATGAGTGGGATAGGCCAAACCATACCACACAGAGTCTGCCAGGTTACAGTCAGGAGGGCAGGTTCACTCTGGGAGCAGCAGGGAATGTGGATTTATTCCAGGGCAATGGGGACTCACCGAGGGTGGTGGAGGAAGGGGGCAGCTCCCATGACCGCCTGACTGTCTTCTTTCCTCCCCCAGGTCCACCTCCACCTCCTCACCCGTTCGCCCGGCTGCCACATTCCCACCCGCCACCCACTGCCCACTGGGCGGCACCCTCGATGGGGTCTACCCTACCCTCATGGAGCCCGTCTTGCTGCCCAAGGAGGCTCCCCGGGTCGCCCGGCCAGAGCGGCCCCGAGCAGACACCGGCCATGCCTTCCTCGCCAAGCCCCCAGCCCGCTCCGGGCTGGAGCCCGCCTCCTCCCCCAGCAAGGGCTCGGAGCCCCGGCCCCTAGCACCCCCCGTCTCTGGCCACGCCACCATCGCCCGCACCCCTGCGAAGAACCTCGCACCCCACCACGCCAGCCCGGACCCGCCGGCGCCGCCCGCCTCAGCCTCGGACCCGCACCGGGAAAAGACTCAAAGTAAACCCTTTTCCATCCAGGAACTGGAACTCCGTTCTCTGGGTAAGACCACCCTGACAGCGGCCACCTTCATAGACGCGATTATCATGCGTCAAATTGCTCACGATAAAGGGGCGCGAGAAGGAGGTGCGCTGGCCAACGGCTCCCCTCGCGATGGTAAGACTTCCGGCCCGCACCCACCCCGTCTCGTGGTCCAAAGATATTTTCAGATCTCTGCTTTTTACTTTGGCCCCCGTTTTTTTCGTTGTTGGTTTCGGTATTTTGTTTTGAAGCCCGTCCGTCCTCGCCGGTTTGCACGTGCTGACGACTACTCCGGCCGCGCCTGCCCCTCTGGTTTGGGGGCGCTCATCATTTGCACATCATTTTACCATGGTTTTTTTTTTTTTTTTTTGGATTTTTGCTTTTTTTTCCTTTAATGAATGGATCTGTGATTCTGACTTCGACTGCGCCCCCATCTCCCACTTTGAGCCTGTGTCTGGGGAGCAGGGATGGGGCTGCGGGGGGTCTCAGGCCCATGCCCCCACCTGTCGGCTGCCTGGATGCAGCTGGACTAGGGGGAAGTGGAGGCAGGCGGTGCAGGAGACAGGCGGTGCAGGGAGAAGCTGAGGCGGGGCGGGGGCCTGCACTGTCGAGGAGGAACTGAGCCCAGTTCTTGCATCCTGCCCTGTCCCCAGCCCATGTACCCCAGAAAAAGGGGAGCCCTCTGCATCTGGCCCCCTACCTTGGCCCTAGTTCATGGCTCCTCTCTGTTGGACTGGGATGGCCAAGGCTATATAGCCCAGGCGGGGCCCGGGGACCCAGGGTCACTCCCAGCCACACCCCCACTTCTCACTCTGCCCCACACACTCCTTCCCCCAGAGACCCACGCTGTCCCTGTCTCACACTGGCCTCGCCCCGCCTCCACCACCTGAGCCCATCTCTGTCCCTTCTGGCCTCATCTCTCTCTGTGGCTCCATCTCCCTCTGTCTCTGTCTCTCCCAGGCTCTGCATCTCTCTCCATCTCTCTCCACCTCTCCCTTGGCCTCCCTCTCTCTCCCCAACACCCCTCTCTGCCTTACTTTCTTTGGGTGCCCAAACCCCACCCCTAGCTTGCGTTCCCCTTGACCCCACGGGGATCCAGCCAGCTGGGAGGGCAGCCCTGCCCCTCGGACCCCGAGCCCCTGGGCCTGGTGCCTGACTCTGCACCCCGCCTGCCCTAGGTTACCACGGCAGCAGCTACAGCCCTGAAGGGGTGGAGCCCGTCAGCCCTGTGAGCTCACCCAGCCTGACACACGACAAGGGGCTCCCCAAGCACCTGGAAGAGCTGGACAAGAGCCACCTGGAGGGGGAGCTGCGGCCCAAGCAGCCAGGTACGCCCCGCCCAGTACCCAGGCCCCAGAAACCCTGCACAATGAGGACCCTCACGGCCCCATCACGCAGATGGGAAAAGAGAGGTGCCTAAAGGCCAAGGAATCGGCTGGGTCATGAGGCTCAAAGGCACAGGGCTGGGATTTGGGCCCAGCAGCCCTGGGGCCAGCAGACACCCCCTGACCAGCTCTGCTCTGCCTGCAGGCCCCGTGAAGCTCGGCGGGGAGGCCGCCCACCTCCCACACCTGCGGCCACTGCCCGAGAACCAGCCCTCGTCCAGCCCGCTGCTCCAGACTGCTCCGGGGGTCAAAGGTCACCAGCGGGTGGTCACTCTGGCCCAGCACATCAGTGTAACTACGTGTTCTCTGCCACACCTTGTCATCCTTGCCCCTGGGGGCACCGGGCCTGGAGAGGGGATGGGGAACCCCACAGCCCCTCTGTCCTGGCGGGGTGGCTGGGGGATCCAGGGTGTGGGTGAGGGTGAGATCCCAGAGCCCTGAGCACCTATACCATCACCACCCCCTCATCCATGGGTGGAGCCTGTGATGCGAGCCAACAGCATCTTCACGGGCAGTGAAGTCCTCCTGGTGGCCCGGGTTTCTCAGTGTCATGGGCTGGTCATACCAGCCATCTGCCAACTACCAGCTTGGGACCACTGACCACAGCCCGATTCCCATTCACCCGGGGACACGGAGGCCCAGAGGGTGGCGGGCAGGTCCACAGTCACCCAGCCAGGATTTTTCCCCAAGGTCCATCTAGCCCCTCCCCACCCCCAGAAGGTTCTGGCAGGAGGGTGCTGCCTGACCCTGGGCCCCCCACTTGCCTGCAGGAGGTCATCACACAGGACTACACCCGGCACCACCCACAGCAGCTCAGCGCACCCCTGCCCGCCCCCCTGTACTCCTTCCCTGGGGCCAGCTGCCCCGTCCTGGACCTCCGCCGCCCACCCAGTGACCTCTACCTCCCGCCCCCGGACCACGGTGCCCCGGCCCGTGGCTCCCCCAACAGCGAAGGGGGCAAGAGGTGAGTGTGGGGTGGGGGTGCCTCTTGCTGGTCAGCCGGTGGGAGGCCTTCGTCAGCTGCCTGCCTCAGAGCTGGGTCTGAGCTCAGCTGCATACGAGGCCCGCCTGGTGCCATTGCACAGGCAAGAAATGGAAGCTCCGGGAGATGGGGAAGTCACAGAGCGGATACATAACCAATAATAGCCGATAAAAGTACACACTGTGCTCAGTGGGTTCCAGGCACTCAATGTGTACCCTTTACACACAGCCCCCAGGAGACACAGGCAGCATTCTCCCCATTTCACAGATGAAGAAACTAAGGCCTGGAGACGTGAATTCACTTGCCCACAGGGACACAGTCAGTAGGTGACAGAGGGGGTTTGATCCAGGGCTGTATGATTAGAAAGCAGCCTTTCCACACATGCACACACACATACACGCACACCTGTCAGTGCACACACATGCACATGCTTGCACACACGCACATGCTCACGCACACTCCCACCCTTGTGAACCCTGGGGCCTCTGGGGGTCCAAAGAGGAAGAGAGGGGAGGGCCCTGAGCTCCAGGGTGAAGGAGGCATTTTGGTGGGGGCGGTGGGGAATGTGTGTGTGAGGACAGATATGGTAAGACAGCAGGACATCTTTGGGGGACAGTGGTGTAGCTGGCACTGGGGTCCAACCAGAATTCAGAGCAGGGGTCAGTAAACTATGGGCCATGGGCCACATCTAGCCTGAGCCCTGTTTTTGTACAATTCATGAATTAAAACGATGATTTTACATTTTTAAAGAGTTGTTTTAAAAAATAAAAATAATAACAATACGTGCCAGAGATTACTTGTGGTCGAAAATACCTAAAACGTTTATGATTTGGCCAGGTACAGGAAAGCGTGCGGGGCCCTGGTTTAGAGTGGAGGAGTGCGTCCCCTCAGGAGGGAGACCTCTGACCATATCTGGGGCCCTTTCTCCCTCCAGGTCTCCAGAGCCAAGCAAGACGTCGGTCTTGGGTGGTGGTGAGGACGGTATTGAACCTGTGTCCCCACCGGAGGGCGTGACGGAGCCAGGGCACTCCCGGAGTGCTGTGTACCCGCTGTTGTACCGGGATGGGGAGCAGACAGAGCCCAGGTACTTCTGTGGGCACATGGACTGCCCCTGCGATGCTCTGGTATCAGCTCCTTGCCCATCCTTGGCCCCAGTCCACCATGGTGCTGTGTGGAGAGTGACAAGGGCACAGGGCTCAGCTGGGTGACCTCGAGCCTGCTAAGCAAGTTTCGCCAACTTGGGGGTGTAATACATGCCCACCATCCCTGGGGAGACCTCAGTGGTAGCTTTCCATGCCTTGGGCTGGGATCTCAGCTGGTCCAGGCCCCTGTTGCCGGCTCCTGTTGAACCTCTAAGAAATAATGAGTTAAGTGTGCTGGGCCAGACTGGGGGCAATGGGTGAAGTGGGGCCTGAGAAGGAAGCTGGGGCCGCTGGCCTTGGGGAAGGGCATGATCGGAACCCAGTTTCAATCCTTGGGGCTCTCTTGAGAGGGTCAGGCTGGAGCAAGTGGTCAGAGGCAGCCCACCACACAGCCAGGCGTCTCCCAACACACCCCTAGCCCCAGGATGGGTGAACCACAGAGGATATTTCAGGAGCTGTGATCTTGTACCAGCCAGGGGATGCAGGCGTGGGGATGGGTGAAGCTTGCTTCCAAATGTCTAAGGCATCTCAGGTGGTGAGTTCCCTGTCATCAAAGGCATGCAAGCTCAGCACCAAGTGAACTGATGTGAGGTGTCTGATCCTCACAGCAGGATGGGCTCCAAGTCTCCAGGCAACACCAGCCAGCCGCCAGCCTTCTTCAGCAAGCTGACCGAGAGCAACTCCGCCATGGTCAAGTCCAAGAAGCAAGAGATCAACAAGAAGCTGAACACCCACAACCGGAATGAGCCTGAATACAGTAAGGGGCCTGCAGGCTCCCGGGGAAGCATGGGGCCACGGGTTGGGGGGGTGGCCTGCCTGGGTCGCTGGAGCCGCCCAGTAGCAGAAATCCACAGTGCACCTTCGAAAACTAAGTGGCCCTGCTGACCGCCTTCCTCCAGGCCCTTAGCCTCACCTTTGGAGAGCCCTAGGGCAGTTTCTTGATTTGCTGGGCTTTCCGTAGGAGCTTACTGGCACAGAATAGCACCCAGCACATAGCAGGTGCCCAGTGAATACCTGCATGAATACTGGGACCAGGGGTTGGGTCCCTCCCACATAAGGGCTGGGCACCTCCCACACTCAGCACCTGTGTGGCTTTGCACCCATTGACGTGGTTTCTGGGTATGAACGTCCCACTCTGCTTCCCAGTACCTAGCACAGGGCCTGGCACTTAGCAGATCCACCAGAGAGTATGTGAGTGGGTGGGCAAATAAAGAATCTGTCATAGTCCCTGACCCCAAGAAGCCACATCTGCCAGGGGAGTTTGGGCAAATCACAGATGCTCTTCCCTTCGTGGGGCTGGAGTAGAAACCTTGCAGATAGTCACTGGCTTCCCGGGCATGGTGGCTCATGCCTATAGGCCCAGCACTTCAGGAGGATGAGGCAGGAGGGTTGCTTGAAGCCAGCAGTTCAAGACCAGTCTGTGCAACATAGCAAGACCCCATCTCTATAAAAAATTTAAAAGCCAGGCACACACCTATAGTCCCAGCTACTGGGGAGGCTGAGATGGGAGGATTGCTTGAGCCTGGGAGGTCAAGGCTGCAGCGAGCTATGATCACACCACTGCACTCCAGCCTGGGCAACAGAGCAAGAAGTTGTCTCAAGAAAAAAAAAAAAAAATCTCTGACCCAGGCTGGTAACTCCAGGGCCTTGTAAGTGTGGTCCAGGGAACCATAGCATCAGCATCCCCAGGGTACGTTGACATCCCCAGGGTACTGGTTAGAAATGCAGGCCCTTGGCTGGGCGCGGTGGCTCACTCCTGTAATCCCAGCACTTTGAGAGGTCGAGGCCGGTGGATCATCTGAGGTCAGGAGTTCGAGACCAGCCTGACCAACATGGTGAAACCCTGTCTCTACTAAAAATACAAAAATGAGCCAGGTGTGGTGGCAGGTGTCTGTAACCCCAGCTACTCAGGAGGCTGAGGCAGGAGAATCACTTGAACCTGGGAGTGAGCCCAATCTTGCGGTGAGCCAAGATTGCACCACTGCACTCCAGCCTGGGTGACAGAGTGAGACTCTATCTCAAAAAAAATAAAAAGAAAAAAGAAATGCAGACCCTTGGCCCTGTCCCAGGCCTGCTGCATCAGAACCTGCGATGAACAAGATTCCCCAGGTGATGCCAGCACACCTGGCCTGGACCACACAGGACTGGTAGGGCAGGTGATTCCCAGAGACCTGGGGGCCTCACCCATTCTGTCACCCACTTCCAGATATCGGCCAGCCTGGGACGGAGATCTTCAATATGCCCGCCATCACCGGAACAGGTAACCCATCCAGCCCTTGCTATATGGCCGCCCAGGTCCCCGGCGCTCTCTCCCCACCCCTGCTCCAGCTGTCATTAAGGGACGAGGAGCCTTCGCTAGTCCAAGTGCACCCCCTCATTCTGGGATGAACTAATCGCACAGCAGGATTCAGTCACACAACAGGCAGGCGAGGCTTGTTCCCCTTGTAGAAAGGACCCTCGCTGTGCAGGGAGTCTCTGGAGTTAAGATCCCCTGGGGTGGTTAGTAAGTGTCAGATGCATTCTCACCAGCTGGAAACTCACCTTGCTTCTTCACCAGTCTCAGCTGGAGATGTGCGTGTCTGGACAAGGAGTGGGCTTGAGCTCAGAGCACAAGCCTCCGAGTTCACCCGGGCATTTGTTATAGCCAGAGCTTCATTCCTTAATTCCAGCCAGGGAACTGGGAGGCCTTTTTTTTTCAAGATCAAATGCAGGTGTGTGGCAGAGATAGGTATAAAATTGACATGCACTTTTAAGCTGAAACTTAAGACTTCTATGATCTTTTGGACTTAGGGGTCCCTTGGGGTTGGAGCCCCATCCTCTAGGAGGGCCCCATTGTGTATTTCCTTGGTGAGTCTGGGGTGTGGCCTCCAGGGGCCACTCCGCATGGGCAGGCCTGGCCCAGTGGGGCTGAGGCAGTTTCGGGGTCAGCTGCCTCTGTGTGGGTGCCTGGTTGTCCTCTGGCCCTTTGGTGGAAGCCGAGGCCGGGATGGAGGTCGGAGAGGTTTCCTGATCTTCCCCGGGGGACGTTCCCGGGCCTTGAGCCCTGGGAATGGGCAAAGGACAGTCATTCAGATAGTATCAGGGTCATCAAGGCCTCTAAATGGGAGTCCCAACTAGGACACCTCCACCCGCCCAGTGACTAGACACCAGGGGCTTTGCCAAGCCTCAGGCAATGGGAAGAAGACAATTTGGTCGAAACAACAAGAGGGTTAGAAATGAATGTTCCTGGGATGTTCTAAATCTTTAAGCAGGTGCTAGACACGCAGGTGTATCTGCATGTACAAATTCATGGCATGGTACAATGAAGATTTATGCTAACACTTGTATATAAATACTTTGTATTTATTTTTTTAAGACACGGTCTTTCTCTGTCACCCAGGCCACAGTGCAGTGGTGTGATCACGGCTCACTGCAGCCTCTGCCTCCCAGGCTTAGATGATCCTCCTATCTCAGCCTCCTGAGCAGCTGGGACTACAGGCACACGCCACTGCACCCAAATAATTTTTTAACTTTTTTGTAGAGACGGGCTCTCGATATGTTACCCAAGCTAGTCTTGAACTCCTGTCCTCAAGCTGAGGATCCTCCCACCTCAACTGAAATTTTTTTTTTTTTTTTTTGACAGAGTTTTGCTCTGTCACCCAGGCTGGAGTGCAGTGGTGCAATCTCGGCTCACTGCAGCCTCTGCCTCCCAGGTTCAAGCAATTCTTCCACCTCAGCCTCCCAAGTAGCTGGATTATAGACACCCGCCACTACACCTGGCTAATTTTTGTGTTTTTAGTAGAGACGGAGTTTCATCATGTTGGCCAGGCTGATCCCGAACTCCTGACGTCAGATGACCCACGTACATTGGCCTCCCAAAGTGCTAGGATTACAGGCGTGAGCAGCCGCACCCGGCCTGATTTTTTCTTTTTATGCAGTTTTCGTCCACAAGAAGAAATTTTCCAGGCGCCAGTCTTTGCCACTCAGCCTGTGTCAGACTTCGCCTTTATAAATGGAGATTGTTAAGCCTGGAGCCAGCTCCATCAGGTCGTGGACTCGTGGCCTTGGGTAGAAGACCGGGTCGCGCTGCTGTGATTTCAGCACTCACCCCTGTTGGAAATGTTGCTTTTTCTTCATGCACATGGCTGTTTTTTTTTAAAGGGCTGCAGAAATGTGGCCAAGACAGCAGAAAAGGTGTGAGCATCCCTGGCTACAAACACATTTGAAACCAAAAGGGAAAAGAAAACGCAGGCAGCCAGCAGTTGCTACAGAAACGTGATTTTCAAAGCATCTGCGTCACCTGCAACCTCATGGAAGCCTCAGTTTAGTTTACAAAGGAGCAAGTGGTCAGAAAGACGATTTGACCACTTTGTATTCATACAATTCATTCAGAGCAGAAGTTTAAAAATCCATGAACCTCTTGCCCCGTGGTAGGCAGGGTGGGATGGGGATTCACTGGGGGCTTTTGAAAGCAAAGTCTGGTTTGGTTTCACAAAAATTCTGAAAAGACAGCACCTATGGGGGTTTGTAAAGGTCCCCCACCTCCACATGGTTCACAAGAAAGAAAGAAGGGAAAGGAGATCTGGTTCACAGAAAAGGTTTCCCACGATTGTCAGGAGATGTTCTGGAAGCATCCTCTTGGGACCGGTTTGTTGATTCGACCACTTTGTCCTTGGGACTGGGTGGCTGGGCCAGCTGGGGCCGGACCAGGGCTGGTCCCGTGATTGTGTCTACCTCTGCCCTGTCCCCTGCACGCACCGTAACTGCATGGCTACGACCTCGCCCTCAGCATCCGTCTCTGCACCTGTTTCTCCTCGTGGCTCCTGGGTGGGGAGAGGCGGAGGGAGGAGAATAGGCCCAGCTTGTGGGGGAGGCAGGGGGCTGCACATCCCAGGTCACACAGGTAGAGGTGGGGCAGCGGGAGGACCATCTGGTCACCTTCTCTCTCTCAGTTCCTTCCCCAGCCCCCCGCCAGCCCCCAGCTCTGGCTTGACCCAATTTTCTAGCAGCCTGTTCCCCAAACATGGCAGCCCTCCCATCTCCCACCCTCTCCATTAAGGCCACTTGGGATTTAAAAAAAAAAAAAAACAGCCCAGCTAGGATTGGAGGTGCAGACAGGGCTTGTGATTTCCCAGAGGACAGAATAGGAATGAGGATGGGGCTGGTGGGGGCATCTGACCTCCCCCACCCCACCTCCCTGGCAGTGCCCAAGAGCTTCTGGGGCCCCAGGTAGAAGGAACCAGCCTCTCCCCTTTTATCACCACCCAGCAGGAAAAAAAAGGGTGGGGAGGGATAGGGAAATAAATATGTTGCTTTGCCGAAATGTGCTCACTGTGTATTTCTCTCTCCTCCTCCTCCTCCTCCTCCTCCTCCTCCTCCTCCTCCCCTCTCTCTCTCCCTTCTCTCTCTCCGTCACCCCTCTGGCTCCCCCTCCCCGGCCCCCATGTGTCTGTCTGTCTGTCTGTCTCTCTCTCCCAGGCCTTATGACCTATAGAAGCCAGGCGGTGCAGGAACATGCCAGCACCAACATGGGGCTGGAGGCCATAATTAGAAAGGCACTCATGGGTAAATATGACCAGTGGGAAGAGTCCCCGCCGCTCAGCGCCAATGCTTTTAACCCTCTGAATGCCAGTGCCAGCCTGCCCGCTGCTATGCCCATAACCGCTGCTGACGGACGGAGTGACCACACACTCACCTCGCCAGGTCTGCAGGCCACCTCCGCCCCGCCCCCGTCTGTCCCCACCCCCGGTGTGATTAATCCTCGCTCCTCCGCGCTCCTCTGACAACCCCCTCCTCAAGCTTTGGAGCTTGTGACTTTATTTTTGTGCGTGTTTGACCTTGTTCTGGAGTTTGCTAATCTGAAGCTGGGCTGACACCCCCCAAGTGTCTGCACCCTCCACCACCCCCCAGTCCCGGCCCTCCTGACCACTAGTCCCGAAGTGCTGCCGCCTCCCTCGGACACTCACACTGCTGTCTGCCCCCTAGTCCTGCTGCCTTCCTCCCTGCGGGGAGCCAGCCTCCTGGCCCGTCTGTCTCCTTGGGGGAGACCAGGCTGGAGTGAAGGCCCACCCACACCGCGTGGACAGGGGGATGGCAGCCAGGCCTGTGCTCAGCATCTGCCAGGCCCACTGTGTGTCCGCAGCTGCCCCTTAGCCTGGTGGGGAGGAGCCCAGGGTCTGTGTCAGCCCCGGGAGTCAGGGAGCCTTAGGGGTCAGCCCCGCATCTGCCTGGGTCCCCATCAATACCGTCTGTATCAGAGCAGGGAGCTGAGGAGAGAGTTGCAGTTGTCCAACCTAGACACTGAAGCCCCAGGAAGCTTCTGGAGTCTCCCTGGGGGTCAGGCCTGGCCTCAGGGGTCCTGACTTCTCTGCACGGGGCCTGGAGCTTGCCTAGCCTTAGCAGGGTCCTGGGGCCATGCTCAGAGTCAAACCGGAAGCCCAGGCTTCATGGTTAGGGTTCCAGCCCCTGGGGCTGGGGTCGCTGCAGGACAGGCCAGGGGGCTATTGCAAACAGCAGACAGTTTAGCCACTTCCCCCCACCCTGCAGAAACTGAGCTCCACCCTCCAGGCTCATGGCTGGCCCTCCGGTCAAGCCTGGCTTCCCAGCTGGGGTGGGCAGCAGGGAGGAGGGGTTTACATCGCTGCTCTCCCTCTTTGGAGGGCCCATGGCAGGACCTCACCCCGCCCCTGTGGCCCCACTGCAGTGTCAGTGCTGTCTTCACTGCCCAACACAGCCCCTTCCCATCTTGTCCCCCTGCAGGCGGCGGCGGGAAGGCCAAGGTCTCTGGCAGACCCAGCAGCCGAAAAGCCAAGTCCCCGGCCCCGGGCCTGGCGTCTGGGGACCGGCCACCCTCCGTCTCCTCAGTGCACTCAGAGGGAGACTGCAACCGCCGGACGCCGCTCACCAACCGTGTGTGGGAGGACCGGCCCTCGTCAGCAGGTGGGCACCAGGTGGGGACAGGGCACTGAATGCCAAGCGCCTGCTGCGTGCAGAGCTCAGACGCAGGCCTGTTCTGTGGAGATGCCGTCCAGGGGCCTGGGCAGCTGAGCCTGGCTCACGAACGGTCAGCATGCTTCCTCCAGGGGCACCGGCAGAGGAAAAGGGTGTGGCTGGGGTCAGATCACCTGGGCCTGGTGGGCCATGCAGGGGAGCCTGGACTTCCTCTGATGGGTAGTGAGGAGCCATGGAGGGCTTTCGGAAAGGAAATGCTGATCTAACACAGGGTCAGAAGGCCCCTGGGAGAACAGACCAGAGGGATGGTGGAGAGGCTACTATAGTCCAGGCAGAAGACAGCAGGGTGTGAACGGGGATGGAAGTAGCACAGGTGAAGAGAGGCAGATGGTTCTGAGAGCTGTTCGCAATTAGAAAGGGCTGGGAGGGCTGTTGGACAGAACCGCTAAGGCCTCTGTTCCCAGTGTGGTGGGCAGGCCGCGGGCAGGGCCTGCCAGGCTCACAGAGGCCTCCTGGGCATCTTTTGCTTCTTCCCACAGGTTCCACGCCATTCCCCTACAATCCCCTGATCATGCGGCTGCAGGCGGGTGTCATGGCTTCCCCACCCCCACCGGGCCTCCCCGCGGGCAGCGGGCCCCTCGCTGGCCCCCACCACGCCTGGGACGAGGAGCCCAAGCCACTGCTCTGCTCGCAGTACGAGACACTGTCCGACAGCGAGTGACTCAGAATGGGGGAGGGGGGCGGTGTCGGGTCCCAGCGAGCCACAGGAAGAGCCCGGCAGGAGCAGGGCGGGTGCCGACTCCCCCCAACGAGGAAGGAGCCCCTGAGTACGCCTGCGCCTCCATCCATCCATCCGTCCAGAGCCGGCATCCTTGCCTGTCTAAAGCCTTAACTAAGACTCCCGCCCCGGGCTGGCCCTGTGCAGACCTTACTCAGGGGATGTTTACCTGGTGCTCGGGAAGGGAGGGGAAGGGGCCGGGGAGGGGGCACGGCAGGCGTGTGGCAGCCACACGCAGGCGGCCGGGGCGGCCAGGGACCCAAAGCAGGACGACCACGCACCTCCACGCCACTGCCTCCCCCAAATGCATTTGGAACCAAAGTCTAAACTGAGCTCGCAGCCCCCGCGCCCGCCCTCCGCCTCCCATCCCGCTTAGCGCTCTGGACAGACGGACGCAGGCCCTGTCCAGCCCCCAGTGCGCTCGTTCTGGTCCCCACAGGCTGCCCCAGCCAACGAGATTGCTGGAAACCAAGTCAGGCCAGGTGGGCGGACAAAAGGGCCAGGTGCGGCCTGGGGCGAACGGATGCTCGGAGGACTGGACTGTTTTTTTCACACATCGTTGCCGCAGCGGTGGGAAGGAAAGGCAGATGTAAATGATGTATTGGTTTACAGGGTATATTTTTGATACCTTCAATGAATTAATTCAGATGTTTTACGCAAGGAAGGACTTACCCAGTATTACTGCTGCTGTGCTTTTGATCTCTGCTTACCGTTCAAGAGGCGTGTGCAGGCCGACAGTCGGTGACCCCATCACTCGCAGGACCAAGGGGGCGGGGACTGCTGGCTCACGCCCCGCTGTGTCCTCCCTCCCTCCCTTCCTTGGGCAGAATGAATTCGATGCGTATTCTGTGGCCGCCATCTGCACAGGGTGGTGGTATTCTGTCATTTACACACGTCGTTCTAATTAAAAAGCGAATTATACTCCAGTTACAAAGGTTTCTTCTCTGCCTCACATTGGGCAGCCAATAGGGCAGGCAGCTGGGGTTTAGAGGACAGTGGGAGTATACCCTTGAAGGGCTAAGGCCACATCCCTCTGAGTCACCAGGAAGTGGATCCTTTTGTGAGTTGAATATTTATACCCTTGGTAAGGACATCACGAGGGCGTCAAATAGTCACATCTGTGGTGAAGGTATCAAGTGTTCACACCCATGCTGAGTGTCAGATGTTCACATGGGTTCACATACATGTGTCAGGTATTCACACAGTCAGGGTGTCATTCACACTCATGGTGAGAGGGTGTCAGGTATTCACACCCATGTATCATGTATTCACACCATGGTGAGTGTGTCAAGTAGTCACACCCATGGTGTCAGATGTTCATACTCATGGTGTTATTCATACCATGCTGAGGGTGTCAGATGTTCACACTCATGGTGTCAGGTGTTACACCATGGTGTCAGGTGTTAACACCATGGTGAGGGTATCATGTTTACACTCATGGTGTCAGGTATTCACATCATGGTGAGAGGATGCCGGGTATTCACACTCATGTGTCAGGTATTCACACCATGGCAAGGGTGTCAAGTAGTCACACCCATGGTGAGGGTGTCAGATGTTCACACTCATGGCAAGAGTATCAAATATGCACAAGGTGAGGGTGTTGGGTATTCACACCCATAGTGAAGGTATCTAATATTCACACCTGTGGAGTCCAGAATGGCCATCACATCCTAATTGGAGTCTTTTAATGTCATCCCTGCCCATGGAGATCATGATAGGGGATGTCCCGGTGTGATTTGAATACAGGCAGGAGAGAGAGCAACCCCTGCCAGCTCGTTCAGTTGCCTCTTGAGTTCAGGTGTACCACATCTTGGGTGTGCCCTGTCTTGTGCCCACAGCATCCCTTCTGGAGCAGAGTGAAACCTGGGAATGGCCACAGTTCTTTGCTATTGACCCGGTCACCCTTGGCCTTGTCCCTCAGTGCCAGTGGCCTGGCCCTCCCCTTCATTTTCCTGCCCTTTCCCTATGCTGCCACAGCAGCACGGCTGTCCCTCTACACTTCCCCAAAGCCTGACACCACAGCTGGTGCCTGGTCCCATGTGCAGTGTCAGTCCCCGGAGCCAGATTGGGTGGCTGAGCTGGAAGAGACTTCATTTGCCCACTGGCCCCCAGGTATAGCTACAGGTGCCCTGGCATGGGGAGTGCACTGGGGCCCCCTGTGGAGCCACTGCCTGCTTTCCTAGAGGGAGGAAGCCCACCCCTGCCCTGGAGCTTCCCCTGCTGGTCCGGAGTGGCTTGAAGCCTCCCACTAGGGCTTCCATCTGGACAGCCCCATCACAACCTCTTACCCATTCTATGTCCCCAAGTCCATGGGGACAGCGCTGGCCTGAGTGTGGCCTCTGAGGCCTGCCCCCATCCTAGAGCAGAGGTCAGAGAACCTTTCCACTTGGCAGAGCCATGAGGTCAGCTCTGCCCCCAATGGCATTCCTGGAGCCACTGTAGAGTGAAGACCCCCAGTTCGTGTCCCACTCCACCCAAGACCCACCAGACGTGTGGACAGTTGGCAGCCAGGAAACGCCTGCCCTGCAAAAGCTGAGTCCTTCTGCTGGGTGGGTTCCTAGGATGGTGCCAGCTTCCCAGGCCCCTAAAACCTTTGGGAGTGCAAAGCGGGTGGGAGGTGGGCCCTCTGCCCCTCATGGGCACAAGATAACCTGCAAAGCAGGGCATTCTCTCTTCGCTCTTCCTTCAGAACTGCATCTGAGTCATGCTAAGTGTGGGAGTCCCAGGGTCCTGGAATTCTGCCTGTCCCCATCCCTCAGCCTTCAGGCCCAGGCAGTCTGGGGTGCTGGCCTCAATTCACCCAGAAACAGGCAGTCCCAAATCCCCAAAGAGGGCCGACCCGGGCCCAGCTACTGGTGAGCAGGGACAAAGAGGTGGTGGTGACACAGATGGGACCCAGCCTTGGGGACTCTGATGGGGATTTGCCAGCAAGGATGGCTGAAGCTGGGGGTCCCTGGCCCTGTGCTGGTGTCTGAGCAGCCTCACATCCAGCACTGCAGATACCAGCCCTGCAGGACTGAGGGGCAATGGAGGGGAGAACCACAGTCCACTGGAAGCAGAAATTGTCACCTCCTACCCCAACCATCCCAGGGGACTAAAAGCCTCCAGGGCCCAGGCTTGCCCAGAGTCCTGCCTCCCCTGGAGTGGGGAACAGGGAGGAGGGGCATCCTCAGGGGCTCTGCCCAGCCTCACTGGCTCTCAGTATCCCACCCTGATTACTGTGCCCAGGGTAAAAATAAGCTGAAGCCTTGGGCCTATGCAGGACCTGGATTCCAGCTTGGTGACTGCGATCTATGTGAACCTGGGGACGTTCCGGGTGCCCTCTGGGCCTTGGTTTCTCATCTGTGCACTGGGCTCTAATGGCGTCCCAACAGGGCAGAGCCTGGCACCGGGCTGTAGTTCTGAGGCCGGCAGGCAGATGGCAGTGTGGGGCTGGCAAAGAGCCCTGTCCCGGGCAGTCCTGCCCTCCACCCAGGGCAGAGCGGCCCCCACCCGGAATCCAGGATGGGTTGGGGTGTTGGTCATGCCAGCCGCCAGGGGTTGCCCACTCACACTGGTGAGGCCCAAGATCCCACAGCACCTTGTTCAGCCACCAGTGAGACCAGAGAGATGGGAGTGAACCACAGGGCTCAGCCCAGCCCCCATCTCTGTGCCTCTAAATTGGTACCACTCAGCACCGCGGCATGTCTTCTCTGAGGACCAGGGACTCAGACCCAACCCAGGCGGTTGTTTGCAGGTGCATGGAAAGCTTGCAGCCTGCTGCCCTCAGAGGGTCCACTCCGTCTCCCAGCTACAGTCAGTTGGTTCTCAACCTTCAAAGAGGTCATCCCACCTACCCCCTAATGAAAGACGTCATCCACCTACCCCCAAAGAGGTCATCCCACCTACCCCCCAAAGAAAGATGTCATCTACCTATCCCCAAAGAGGTCATCCACCTACCCCCAAAGAAAGACGTCATCCCACCTACCCCCAAAAAAGATGTCATCCCACCTACCCCCCAATAAAGACGTCATCCCGCCTACCCCCAAAAATGTCATCCCACATACCCCCAAAGAAAGATGTCATCCACCTACCACCAAAGAGGTCATCCCACCTACCCCCAAAGCGGTCATCCCACCTACCCCCAAAGAGGTCATCCCACCTACCCCCAAAGAAAAACGTCATCCCACTTACCCCCAAAGACGTCATCCCACCCCTGTCTTGTGTGGCTTTTTCACTGCTCCATCTTTAAAATGAAGACTCATGCTATTCCCCTGACCCCTATCTCCCTGGAAAACTCCTATACACACTTCAAAACCCAGCTGGGGCGTTACTTCCTTGAAGAGCACACTACCCTGGCCTATCTTCTCTGCCCTCTGCGTCTCTGATAACAGTGCAATCCTTGTCTCAAATCCGACAGAACCCTTGAGGGGCAGAGCTCTTGTCTTTCCCCTCCTGACCCTGTCTTTGGCTGTGAACCTCCCTGGCAAGTGTGTTGTGAACTGACGCTGCGAGTGTCTAGTTCTCAGTAGAAAGCTAGAAAGAGCTCTGTAAAGGACAGTTGGTGGCAAACGTCACCATGTCTTAGGATGTCGGGAAGTTGGTTAAATGCAGATTCCTGGGTCCACCTAGACAGTCTGATGCTCTAGGTCCAGGGTGGGGCCCAGGAATCTGTGTTTTCAACAAGCAGCCCAGGGGTTTCTGGTGGGAGTAGTTGGCGACCCTCACTATGACGGCAGGGGCAGTGCCCAAGATTGGAGCTAGGCCCTCACCTGGAACCTGGCTCCTTCACTTCCATCTGATCAGGAGGTCTCCAGTAAGTGCGCAAAAGTCTCTGTAGAAGGAGGCCTGGCCACTAGCCTGAAGAGCTGCTGCCCATAGGGCATCAACGGACTGGTCCCGAAGACCCTGGGGTTGGCTCCGGACAAGCCTTCCTGGGACGACACAGATAAACTGGAGCAGTCCGGGTGGCTTCCTGGAGGAGGCAGGTCTAGGGAAAGGAATAGGCTGAGAGGAGAAAACCTGTGTGGCAATGGCTGGGAGGTGAGGCCCAGCCAGGGACCCTTGGGAGCCCACCACCATGGGCTGGACGTGAGTCCCTGTGGGGGCCCAGGAGTGTCTGGGGTGGTGAGCCATTGCTTAATAAGGTAACTTGCCGGTTTTCTGAAATCGGGGCGGTTTTGTCTCGCAAGGGTGCTGATGGATTGTGAGGGAGAATTAGACCTGGGAGACAAGTGTGGGACCAGGATAAGGGACTGGCACAGCGCAGAGGCCAGGACGCAGCCCCCTCGCCCTGGGGAGGGGGTCGGGGACCGGACACCATGGTGTGAGGGGCAGGGGCTCGGAGATCAGCATGATGCAAGGGCAGCGTGTCATAGCCAGCTGCCTGGTCCTGGCCCTGTCGTTCGACCCCACCACGCCTCAGTTTCCCTGGAATGGGGTGGTGATATTGCTCTAGGGAATGACTGCTTCCTAAAAGCTATTGGGTTTTTTTTTTTTTTTTGGTTTGTTTTGTTTGTTTGTTTGTTTTTACATAGCCACTGTTTGCTCACCTGTATGGGAATCAGATAGTGGCCAGAGGCAAGGGACAAATGCCGAGGTGGGGAGGGAGAAGCTCAGGTGATCTGCAGCAGTGGCTCATTTGGAAATCTGGGGAGCTGGTGCTTGTGGAAGGATTCTCTGGCCATTCTGTCCTTCAGAGGCTAAGGAGGGCCATCAAAGAAAATTCAGTTGTTGTTTACAGATTCTCTAGAAAGCCGAGAGGGCTCAGCAGTCTGCAAGCCACCAGCTGTCCTCACACGGGCACTTCCTCTGGAGGGAGGCCGGGGGCACACGCCTCCTTCGCAGGATCCTCCCCACCCCTTGCAGGGCCATCGTGAAGATGAAACAGATTAAATATACGACATGCTCGCGGCAGGGCCAGGCACAGTGTGGGTGCTACGCAGGC